AAAAATGCAGTGGAAAGTCTTAACAGCAGACTTGGTGAGGCAGAAGAAAGAATATCAGAACTAAAAGACAAATCTTTGAAATCTTATAGACCCTTACCCCTCAAAAAAAAAAAAAAAAAAGAAGAAAATAGAAAAAGAAAATCTCCAACAGTGTTGATGATTTATGGGATACTTATGAAATGACCCAACACACGGCTTTTAGGATTCCTAAAGCTGCAGTAAGAGAGAATGGACTAGAAGGCCTATTTAGTGAAATAATTACAGAAAACTTCCCCAGTTTGGAGGAAGAAAGGACATCTAAGCACAGGAAGCACACAGAACACCTAATAAATATTATCAGAAAATATCTTCACCATGACGCATTGTAGTCAAATTTTCCACAGTAAAACAGAAAGGTTCTAAAATGTGCGTGACAGAAATGCCAGATTACCTTCAGAGCATCTCCAATTAGACACACAGCTGATTTCTAATCAGAAACCTACGGGCTACAAGGGAATGACAAGATATAGTCCAAATCTTAAAAGAAAAAAACTGTCAACCCAGAATACTGTACCCTGCAGAATCTCTATGATGAAAATTACAAAACACTAAAGGAAGAAATAAAAAACACATTAAAAATGGAAAAATCTTCCATGTTCATGGATTTGAAGAATCAACATCATCAAAATGTCTATACTACCAAAAGCAATTTACAGATTCAGTGTGGTACAAATCAAACTACCAATGACATTCTTCACAGATCTAGTGAAAATGATGCTCAATTTCATGTGCAGGAGCTGGCGCTGTGGCAAAGTAGGTTAAGCCTCTGCATACTGCATTGGCATCCCATATGGGCACCAGTTCGAGTCCCGGCTGCTCCTCTTCCAATCCAGCTCTCTGCTATGGCCTGAGAAAGCAGTAGAAGATGGCCCAAGTGCTTGAGTCTTTGCACCCATGTGAGAGACCCAGAAGAAGCTCCTGACTCCTGGCTTCGGATCACCTCAGCTCCTGCTGCTGCAGCCATTTGGGGAGTGAACCAGCGGGTAGAAGATCTTTCTCTCTATCTCTCCTCTCACTGTCTATAGCTCTACCTCTCAAATAAATAAAAGCTTAAAAAAATTCATAGGGAAACATAAGAAACCCTGAATAGCTAAAATAATCTCTTTTTTGTGTGTGTGAAAGAAAGCAAATGTTTTACTTACAATTTAGTTTTTTTTTTTTTTTGGTCTTTTATTTTTATTATTTATTTTTTAAGGAATACAAATTTCGTAAGTACAACTTTAGGAATAGTGATTCTTCCCACCATATCAACCCTCCCACCTACACTCCCAGGCCTCCTTCGCCTCCTCTCTCTCTCCTTGCCAGTCCCATTCTCCATTAAGATTCTTTTTCAATTAACTTTGAACACAGAAGACCAACTCTATACTAAGTAAAGATTTCAACAATTTGGATGTACACACACACACAAACTGTTTGAGAACTGGTTTCACAGTTAACTCTCAATACAACTCATTGAAGACAGAGTTCCTGCATGGGGAATTAGTGCATAATTATCCTGTTGTTAATTTAGTAATTAACACTCTTATGTATGACTAAATCAATCTTATACAACAAGAACAAAGCAAGAAGCATCACAATACCTGATTTCAAGACATACTACAGAGCAGTTACAATCAAAACAGCATGGTACTGGCACAAAAACAGACTTGTAGACCAATGGAACAGAATAGAAATTCCAGAAATCAATCCATGCATCTACAACCAACTTATCTTTGACAAAGGAACTAAAAGCAATCCCTGGAGCAAGGACAGTCTCTTCAACAAATGGTGCTGGGAAAACTGCATCTCCACGTGCAGAAGTATGAAACTATACCCCTACCTTATACCTCACAGAAAAATCCACTCAAAATGGATCAAAGACCTTAATCTATGACCCAATACCATCAAATCACTAGAGAACATTGGGAAACTCTGCAAGACAATGGCATAGGCAAAGACTTTTTGGAAAAGGCACCAGAAACACAGGCAATCAAAGCTAAAATTGACAAATAGGATTCCATTACGCTCAGAAGCTTCTGCACTGCAAAGGAAACACTCAGCTGTTTAAAAAAAAAAAAAAAAAACCAACCCTGACTCTTGGCAATAAAATAGACACAACTGGAAATCATTATATTTAGTGAAATAAGCCAGTACAAAAAAAAGACAGATATCATATGTTTTCCCTGATCTGAGGTAACTAATAGAGTACCTGAAATATAAAGTATTGGAATGAAATAGATATTTTGAGATTCAGTGATTGTTTATAGTCCTTGTCTCTTCCATTGAAGAACAGTGATTTATTCTGTTTTTTTTTTCTCCTCATACTATTTGTTGAAATATTTTAGTTAGTGTACGGTTAACTATATGATCATTAAGTAAATTAAAAACAGATCTTTGTAAAAGTTAACAGTGAGAATGTAAGAGGAAGGAGGAGGAAGGGTTGGAGCATAGGTGGGAGGGAGGCTGGATGGGGGGAGGGTCTATGTTCCTAATTCTGTATATATGAAAATCAAGAAATCTGTATAAGTTAATACAATCTTTAAAAAAAGAAAAAACTTTTTTTAAAAAAGGAGGGCTCAGTGGATTTAGCTCACATTCTCCAAAGGGGACTGGTGTGTGTGAGTGAATGAGCAGGAAGATGACAGAACTGTTGCTCAGTTAAAAACTTTATGTTTTATGTGACAGGATAAGCATTCCATACACAGAAAAATCATCAGATATTTCTAAAACAGGTACAAATATCCAAGTTTATTTTTAATTTCAAAATATAACAAAATTTTAAGTAAATAGACATGTTCATGTAAATATGTGAATGTGTATAACTAGTGATAAAATATAAAGGCTTTTTTGCTGTGTGTATATATACAGAAATTCTCTTAAAAGACGGAAAAATGTAGACCAAAACATTAACAGTGACTATCTCTAAAGGGATAAATCACTAGAGATTTCAGCTATATTTTATATCAAAGTATGGCAAAGAACTAGAGAGTAAATATTTCTGGTTTTGCAGATTCTAAGTCCCTGTCATAACTACTCAAGCCTGTTTCTGCAATGGGAAAGCAGGAGACAAACATAAATGAACAAGCACATGTCCCAATAAAATTTTATTTACAAAATGAGGTGGTGGGCTATTTTGGTCTATGGGTTATAGTTTTCCAACTCTTTTACCTATAACCCATAGGAAGGGCTCAGACAGAAAAAAAATGTTGAAAAAAGTTTAGTGCACCTTCTTACTTGTAGTATGTCTAACTTCACAGAATCTTAAATAATCTAACACAGTATGTCTCACTAAAATTCACACTACAAAAAAAATCCATATAAAATAAAATTAAAATATAAACTTATTTGATGCAAAAAAATTTTGAAATCCATGCCTAGTTTTTTCATACAATTTAAGACCCCTTCTATGTTGTGAATTAAATCTTAAGGGATCGAGCCTGCCACCTAGTGGTCACATAAAAGAACAGCGTTCATAGTCTCAACTTGGTTTTACTAAGTATTCGAAATTCCTGGAAACTATTTTCTAAAACTTTGATTGGCATGTGGGTACCACAATGACATAATGAGTCAAAGAAATCAATAGTAACTAAGTGTGATCAGTTTTATCAAGAATCAGCTTGTCTAATTCTTCCAGGGAGTGACTGAACAGAAGCATGAACTGTCACAGGGCTTCTGCTTTCTTAGCCAGACGAGCTTCAGAAGGTGGGAAAGGCCAGGAAATGGGTACTGAGCTACAGTCAGCCAGGAGAAAGAAGCCCCAATGTGCTATTGCACAGTAGGGGGACCCTCAACCATGATAAACGACTGTAGACGAAAGGATTCTGAATGATCTCGCCACAAGAAATGGCAAGTGTCTGAGGGGACAGATATGCACATCCTATTACAAACTATATACATGGATCGAAGCACCACATGGCACATCATAAATATGCACAATTATTATATATCAATTGAAAATTTTTTCTTTAAAGAAGGTAATTTGGAAAAACAATAGCAAGATGCTTTGCTATCTAAAACTCAGATTTTGAAAATGAATGCTTTCCTTTCTTTAAACCTAAACTTTGAAAAGAGAAAATAATTCCCAAACTCCAACTTAGTAAATCAACCCGAATCCCCGAACCCTGGAGAAATGAGCAATACCAACCTAAGCTGTCCATTGGTCTGCTCATTCACTTACCCTCTTGCTCAACAAGAATGAGTCGCACAAAGAGCCAGGGAGACAAAGATGAAGGACTTCACTCGAGAGACAAACTCAGCAGAGAGAGGCAGAAGCGAGGAAGGAGAGTGCTATACAATCAGGGCCCACAGAAATGACCGATTGGCAGGGTCAAAGGAGCCCAGGGGAGGGAGCGAACCCTGCAGGGTCCCAGGAGGACTTCCAAGGGCAGGTGGCTTCTAATAGAAGGAGCGCGAGGTTGCCAGAGAGGGAGGGACGGGAAGGAAGAGCAGCAGATGGGGTAGGGCAGGGGGTTCCGCCGATGGGCTCACATTCAGACTTTAGCTTTGAAGAGCCCAAGAGACAGAGAAAGCGCACAAAAAGCTTGCACACATTTCCACTCCATGCCTCCCAAAGCACGTCCTTCTCTCACACAGGAGGGAAGGAAAAAAGCTGGGCTGGGTGGTGATGGGGAAGGCAGAGATGGTCTCAGCTCCTCACATAGTCCCCGGCACTTCCGTGTCTCCACATCTCATCTATATCCAGAGTTGTGGTTGTCAGCACTCACCTTGCCCCCAAGTGACAAACATCACACAAGCATTATAAAGCCTCCCATGGGCGACAGGCAGACTTGTAGCCAACATCCCACTAGAAGAAAGTATCCCCTGCCCCTTTGAAACCTCAACAGGAAGCACTGGTTCCTCACTCAGCCCATCTCACTCACACACCTTATACCACCAACCAGCCCAACCAAGTACCCAAGCCATGTGGCCAGCTTCCCTGGCCCTGGCTGAACAGGCTCTGCCCTGCACAGGTGCAGCCATACCTGGGTTGCTGGTGAGGAAGGCGAGGGGGCTCTCACTGAGGTCTGCAAGGCCGTCCACCCGGTGCGGGGGGCTCTCCAGCAGCTCTGCTCCTCCCTCCAGCTCCGGGTAGGTCCTCACCAGGAGGCCCAGGGAGGGCTGTGAGAGGAAACCTTTGAGCATAGATGAGTTCAAGGTCCCAGCAGCACGATTATTGATCTCGAGAATCTCATCTCCGGCTTTCAGGCCTGCCAACGCAAGATGGAAATTTTTTTTTTTCATTTCACATGCACAATCAGAACACAACCATGTGGAGAAGCTCTGTTGAAAAGGGCACAGCAAGCCCCCCTGCCGTGGGCCTCCCAGCCCCCAGGTGCTGCTACAAACAGGCTGCAAAGTGAGCACCAGGTGATCATACGAGTCAGTTACGGAAGGTTCTCTATTTATGTATTATTTATGTATTTGAAAGGCAGAGTGACAGGGAGTGAGGGGGTGAGTGGTGGTGGAGATCTATCCTCCATCCACTAGTTCAATCCTCCAAATGGCCATAATGGATGGAGCTGGGCCTGTCTGAAGCCAGGAGCCAGAAGCTTCTTCCAGGCCTCCTATGTGGGTGCAGGAGCCCAAGTACATAGACCATCCTCTGCTGCTTTCCCCGGCACATTAGCAGGGAGCTGATGCCGGTACCCTGGATGGTCCTATGCTCAGAGGTATAACCTATATTCAGCAGGCCTACCACTGACCTCAGTACATCAACTAAGACATTCACTCCTTTAATGTATGTGTGGGTAAGCATCTGCCTTCGCAAATGCTGATTCTATTCAGAAATAGCAATTTCGGTTATCTTGTGGTGATTTTGAAGGGGAGAAAATGGCAGTGCTCTTGGATTATGTCCGAGATGTATGCAGGCTGCGGTGTAACGTTTATTGATCACTTCTATGGAACCAAAATGTTATGAGATCCCTTTGTCACATGTCTTCAGACATAAGGTTGCCTTACAAAATCAAACACCATCATTTCTGCTCCTCTCCAAAGGGTGTGCTCTTTTTGCAAAGCACTCTAGGAAAGCTGCCAAAGTTTGACACTCAAAGGAACAGCCATAATGTCACTGACCCCAGGGCTGTTCGAACTGGTATTAAAAGAACACTCTTGAGAAAGGAAGAGGTTATGGAAGAACATGAAAGGAAAGGAAGCACCCTCTCAGCAAAGAAGGGAAAAGGAGCCCAGTTTCTTATTTTATACACTAATGCGCAAAAACAAATGCGAAAGGAAGTGAGTGGAAGGCAAAGACAATGAGGAATGGCAGAAAGGAGAAACCGCCCAACCCCTCAGGCGTTCACAGGTCCCACCTCTGGTTCTGCAGAGAAATGACTCGCACTTTCCAACTTCACGGAGACACACGCCCTGGCCATCCTCATTCAGGTTTTCAAAATGTTTGAAATCAATTTTCTCTCATAAAATATGCCAAGAAACATTAAGGGGTGGAAGGAACTGGGAGAGAAATGAGAATGTTTCCTCCACATCAGAGATGAAATTCTGTGAAACTAACCATTTCATTTTTAGGTAAAATCCTTTAGCTTCACGGTATTTGAAGTGAGAATATAAAACTGCGACATATGAAAGCAGTTGTCTTTGTTTTTTAAAATCTACTCTGGGAGGCAAACTTTTCTTAAATTTTGTTACTTTGAAAGAGAAATAGAGTTGCTCCCATCTGCTGGTTCACTCCCAAAATGCCTGCAAAGTCCAGAGGGTCAAAGTTGGGAGCCAGGAATCCAATCAGCATCTCCACTGAAGGTGGCAGGAACCCAATGATTGAGACATCCCCACTGCCTCCCCGAGTCTGCATCAGCAGGAAGCTACAGTCAAGCCAGGGCTGGGTATCAAACCCTTGTGCTCCGTCATGAGATGCAGGTGTCCTTAACAGGTGTCTTAACTATTAGGCCAAGCACGTGCCCCGAGACAAAGTTTTTGGTTGCATAGCAGAGGAGGTCTTATAAGGTGAAACAGACATAAGTCCCCCTCCCCACTAAAAAAACCTATGAGATTTTTTTTCTTTTCTTTTTTAAATAAAGAACTTTATTTATTTGAAAGGCAGAGATTCAGAGAGAGAGAAAGAGAAGGAGGGAGGGAGGGAGAGAGAAAGAGAGGGAGAAATCTTCCATCCACTGGTTTACTCCCCAAATGGCCACAAGGGACAAGACAGGGCCAGGCCAGAACCAGGAGCTTCTTCCAGGTCTTGGCACATGGATGCAGGGGCCATCCTCTGCTGCTTCCCCAGGTGCAATAGCAGGGAGCTGGATCAGAAGTGGAGCAGCCAGGACTCAAACCAGCACCCATATGGAATGCTGGCACAGCAGGTAGTGACTTAACCCACTGGGCCGACCCCTATAAGATGTTTTTTAAAAAGAAGTTTCTGATTGATAATGCCCAGCAGAATAGGAATATGCAGCAGGTGGTCCTCAAAAAGCTATGCTCACCCTCCAGAATCTGTGAATGTGACCATATTTAGGAAGAGAAGCATTGCCATAGTAATTGTTAAGGATCCTGAGAAAAGACCATGCTGTATTCCCTAACCCCATTGGCAAGAAACCTTGTAAGAGACACACAGAAGAAAGACAAGGAAAGAAGAAGGCCCTGTGAAGATGGAGGCAAAGACTGGAGCGATGAGGCCACATGCCAAGCAAGGCGTGAATCCTCCAGAAACCGGAAGAGGCAAGAGGATCATCCCCCAGAGAAATCCAGGGGCATAGCCTGGGAGCACCCTGAGTTAAGGCTTCTGCCTTCTCTGGAATGGTGAGAAAACAAATCTCTGTTGTTTTAAATTACTCTGTGGTGCTTTGTTACGGTAACCCTTGGCAAACTAATACAGGGGGCATCTGTATGAGTTATTCTCTGCATTAACAAGTGCTATGAATAAGAAAGATAAGAAAGTGGTCTGCCAGGGGCTTTCTGTCTCAGCATCACAATGTAATTGTGACGGTGGCATCACTGAATTTCTCCCAGCCTCAGTCCTCTGCATGGGTTAAGATAGATAAAAGGGTTAAAGGAGATTAAATGAAATAATCTACATAAAATTTAGTTATTCAATGGACATTAGCTCCCATTATTTTTTAAAAGATTTATTTATTTATTTATTTGAAGGAAGAGTAACAGAAAGAGAGTTAGAGATAGTGGGGATGAGAAAGGGGAAGAAGAAGAGAGGGAGAGAGGAGGAGAGGGGGGAGAGGGAGAGAAAGAGGTTTTCTATCTGCTGGCTCACTTCCTAAATAGCTGCAACAGATGGGTCTCAGTCAGGCTAAAGGCAGGAGCCAGGAATCCCATCTGGGTCTCCCACGTGGGTTCAGGGGCCCAAGCACCTGGGCCATCGTCTGATGCTTTCCCGGGCACATTAGCAGGGAACTGGTTAGGAAGTTGAGCAGCCAGAACTCAAACCAGTTCTCATAAAGGATGCTGATGTTGCAGGCATCAGCTTAACCAACTGCACCATAATGCGAGCCCCAGTTCTCATTATTAATATTTGGTAGAAGAAAGCATAAGGCTTCTTTCTCTAACTGGAAATGGCAGCCTGCTCAGAAATAATTACCAACTAACCATGGAGACAGCTGTGATGTACCCATACCATCTAGAATAACCTCACACCTGGCCATGTTGACCAGGCTCTGTCTGGTGTCGCCACCAGGAAACACTTAGATAACAGCAAAGAAGACACCTGATCCCAACTTCAGATAACTCCACACATTTGAAAGCTGGGCCGACAATGTCACACAGTTGAACAGAGGCACATATGAAACAACACACAAAGGCTCAAAAAAACCAAGTCCATGACATTCAGCCAACCATGAGACCCAACTAGGAACACTGGAGGCGTGCAGGGGAGTGGGAGTAGGAATCTGGGGCCTAAAGGATCCTTTGTTAGAAGTAAAAAGCGGAGTGTGGCCAACAAAAGCAAACACAGGAAGGCTGAATCAATGCAAACAGAATACTCAGGCACCATGAGGCCATACTGCACTAAATCCTACAGGGTCGCACCACATTCTGGTCATTTTTACAGGGGCATTGATGCCTGGACCATGACCAAAGGACAACGACTAGTGCTATTTTCTATAGTGTAACGAGTGGTTAAAGGATTTGAAGTGCTGAATCTGGATGGGAAAAGACTTGGCAGTTATAATGTGATGGAAGCAAAACCTAGAACAGTAGATGGGAACTGAAGAAGGAGGCTTTCCTAGTGTCAGACACACATAAAATGCACACAGAGGATGTACAGTGCACAGCAAACACTCCTCTACTGGAGTGTAAGGGGGTGGTCTTCCATTAAAGGCTAGCGTTAACCTGAAATACCCCACATGTCTCTCTTGACACTGCTTTCTATATCCTAGGTACTTGGACAGTGCTCGGGATTGGGGTCAAAACTGACATCACTCTTGCATCTGTGGAGAACAGTGCCATGTGGGACGAGGTGGGGCGGTGAGCAGACAACCGTTTGTTTTCATCTAACATCGGGGTTTTCAGATTCAAAGAATTGAAACAGGATGTGACTAAAACCAGGGCGGCAGAGTCCCCACCCCCAAGCCATGCCAACCAGCACCACCATCGTGCTGAAAGGAGATAAAAATCAGTCTTTGGGCTTGCAGGAAAATAAACCCCATCATCTCTGTTCTGAGCTGACATACAGCTCAGTGAATGTGTCAAACTGGTCTGTGGGCTGCCTTTGACCTGCAAAGCATAGAAGAAAAAAGAAGGAAAATCCTTCTTCATGATCGTCAGCAGCAGATAAATTATTTTTGACTTTCCTTCCCATTTGTCACACCGTGGCCATTTCTCTATGTGGCCAGGTCTGCAGGTTGTGTTTCTTCAGTGTTCATGGCACAGGGGAAAGTAGCCTGCACTGGGAAAGCTCTGGCCAGCCTGAGCCACCGAGAACTCAGCTAAAGCAGGCATGGAAGGAGGTGAGAAGATGTACTCTGCAAATCCAGCAGCTGCTCCACTCAACCCCATCTCAGCACACTTGACCCCAATGTGTTGCTCTTCAACATCCAACATGCATGATTTTCTCACCTGGATAAAACCAAAAATCTCATGTAAAGAAGCAAGTGGTGAGAGTACCACATGGGAAGCCTGAATTCAGTACTGGAAGTTTGAGTCTCGTCTCTGCTCCCAATTCTAACTTCTGGTTAATGTGCATTGTGGGAGACAGCAGGTGATGGCTCAGAGAACCTAGAAGGCTTTGATTGAGTTCCCGGCTCCTGGTTCAGCCTGGCTCAGCTGCAGCTATTGTGGGTATTTGGGTAATAAACTGGTGGACAGGAAATCTCTGTGTCCGTCTCTGCCTCTCCTCCTATCTCTTTGCTCTTCAAATGAAACAAACTCCATAGCAAGAAGAAAGAAACCAAAGTGGCTTTAAAGCCCTATCTACCTACCCTATTTGTTTATGGTGAACATAGTTGGTTGAATAGTATCCCCCCCTCCCAAATTCACCTCCATCTAGTACATCCTGATCTGACCTTCATCAGGAATGAGGACAAATATATATTATAGATATAATCCAGCAAAAGTAAACTCATAAAGATTTAGGGTGAGTCACAAATTCAATGAAACTTTCTTATAAAAAGACCACATAGAGACACATTTGTGCTTGCTTGTCTTCTGCTTTCTGTCATCAGGTGAAGCAGCATGAGGCCCTCACCAGTGCCCTTCTTTGGACTTCCCAGGTTCTAGAACTAGCAGCCCAACAAATTCCTTTCCTTTATAAATCATTCATCCCAGGCATTTTGTTATAGTAACAGAGAATGGACTAGGACAATTATCAGTATCTTTTTTCCAGAAGGTGAGTTTCTATTGCTTCGGGCTATCCAGTTTGTAGTAAATTGTGAGGACAGACTTAGGAAACACAGTGAGCAACCAATCCAGGTTGAAGAGATCCTCAAGAGCAGAAAGAGGATGGAGAGGTAGCGATCCACAATCAGCCCAAATGCATTAGGAACCCTTTAAGGGCTGAAAGGGAACAGGCAGGGGATAGCAGGAAAGAACTGCCTTTCTAAGAGTGGGGGCCAGAAGGCTAGATAGGAAACCACTGGGTTTTCAACTTCCATAGACTCCTGTAGGAATGCAAGGAACACACTGTCCTCTGTGAAGGAGCTTTGCAGGCTCCAGGAATGACCAGTGTCAGCTCAGCCCTGTGTGGGCCAACCGGCAGGAGGGGTCTTGTGTGCTGCTCAGGAAGACCCCCCAGGACCTCCACAGCATCCTGGAAGATGAGAAGGACATTCACTAACAATTAGGATGGAATTTCCCACCAGCCCCAGGCAAGTGGACTCAGAATCTGACTCAAAATCCAAGAAGATGATACTTCTCACACAAGGGAGTTAATGGAATAAAATCCATATTCCCTGAAATGGTTTTTGACATGAACTCTTAGTCATCCACCAAACAGAGAAACCCTAAGAGAACAGGAGACAGACAAGACATCCACTGACTTACCTTTCTTGGAAGCTAAACCAGTTTCCTTCACACTGTTCACATACAGCCTTCGAACACCATCTTCCTCCACAGAAGAAAGTGAAAACCCTGTGAAACACAAAGACAGGATGGCAGGGCTCACATCTTCTGAATATTTAGCAAACAACAGGAAGTACCTGCTGTGAACTAGGTTCGTTTAATGTTTTGGCTTCTGATTTGGAGACACTGTTTTTTCCTCAATCATATTGCTTTACAAAGCAGAAAAATGTATTTTTAGATCACTCCAAGTAAACAACATCAGCTACTTGTAAAAGTAAATACTGCTACGTATGTCTGTCTTTATTCTACCTACCACTCAACTTAAACAGAAGGAAATTACTTTGCTTTATATCTTGGTTCCTTGCAAATGTCATCATTTTATGTTTCTCTACTCTCTCCACAGCACAAAAAACGCAAGGATGGGCTGACCTCATCAAAGTCTCCTATGCTTTTTTTCACTGAATTTATATCTTAAAGAGACAACTGCCCCAGTATGTCCCAATACATGGTAAGTATGGTGACTTGGACACAGCAAACAGGAAGAAGTAGTAACTCACTGTACACATCTCATTTCACATGGAAACTAACTGATTTCACAGTCTTCTTTGATCACAAGATTATCTTTTACTTACCTGGGTTTCCACAGCTCAAAGCCCATTAGCTCAGTCATCCTGGGCTTCTTTACAGCCTTCAGAAAAGAAGGCTGAGCAAGGCCCAGATTTTCTAAGTGGTTTGGGGGCCCTGGGTGCTCCCCATCCTACGGTTACAAGCCCTGGTCACCTGTTTCAGGACTGCCTCATATGAAACTCTTTCTTTATTGATTGAATGTCCACAACCAATGCCTACTTTTCTGATGGAAAACAGGATCTTGGTAGATACTATAAAAAGTTCACAGGAATGAATACAATTGCTAAGGATCTGCAATAACTGTTAGCTCTGGGAGAAAAATAGTCCTATGCTCCAGTAACATAGGACATTAATAACAAGCAGAGGAGACAGTGGCTTAAAAACACAACCAAACAACAAAACGGAGTTAATAAGTTAAAAGACCCAGTCCCAGGGATTCACTGAGTCTTCTCAGGCCATGTTAGAACAAACACGTGGTATTTTGTTCAGTTCAGAGGACCAGGAAATGGATAACCACGCGTAGGCAAAACTACCAACTGCCATCACCCCCTGTCTCAGACACAGCAACTCCTGCAGATAGGGAAGCACACAAGACCACCCCAAGGACTTTCCAAAGTCTTCATTTCAGTCTCTTATTTTGAATTCCATTCTTACAGCAACTTGAAGCTTTCCAATTAAGTTTCAAGAAGCCTCAATGAAATCTTATTTTCACACCGAACTACTTCAGTGACATTAACCTTTATGTGGGTGTATTTATCTGTACTTCATTAGATAATTTTTTCCTTCTATCTGTTAAGATGGAATCAAGGGCTATCACATGGAAATGAATGGATAGGATTTAGCAAAATACTGGCACTTCTTTCTGGAAATACCATCATTCTATAAAATTCTGAAACTAAAACATGTTCTATACTAAAAAAAAAAAAAATGGCACCTTGATAGTATGCCAGGGACCAGCTGTTAAACTGGAAGGTGGCAGGAGAGACAATATGCTGAGGACCTGCTGCCAGTCACCCCAGGCCAAAGTCAGCTGAGATGGCTCACTAGTCATTTGCTCTGTCTTCTCTTAAGCCCTCTTTTTTCAATAACCAGAAGGTTGAAAACAGGAGTGAGAACAGAGAACCCATCCAGTCTGAGGACCACACTGACCATGCAATTTGTACCAGGCCATGGGGTTCAAAGCATGGATCTGGTAACAGATTGGACTGCTCAGGCTGAAGGAGAAAACGGTGACAGGAAAGAGGGCAGAAGAAAGGGCAATGGGGACAGGTTCCATTCAGAGGATCACTCAGATGGAAGCCCAGAGTTTACACAAGGAAGCAGCAACCAAGCTCTGGACTCAAATTCATTTCTTGTGGTGACCTAGGAACACAGCTTTCCCTCAAACTCCACGGAATATGGCGTGCACTACCGTGGGGTCTAAATTCAATCTACACATCAAGAAAGATAAGGAAAATATTAAACAGCCCACAGCTGATTATATTGAGGTCAGTGAAGAAGATTTTAATAGTTCATCAGTAAAATCAGACTTTTTCCCTTCTAAATAAGATATCAGTGTTCCATTTCTAAGCAAACAACTCTACTATAGTCCAACACATTTGCTAATAGGAGGCAGAGGGAGACTATTCTATATAAACCTGGAGTATTCACCAATCAGAAGGCATCATGGGGGTGCTGTGGCACAGTGGGTTAATGCCCTGGCCTGAAGCACCGGCATCCCATACGGGCACCAGTTCTGGTCCCCGCTGCTCCTCTTCCAATCCAGCTCTCTGCTGTGGCCTGGAATAGCAGTAGAAGCACGCATGTGGGAGACCCGGAAGAAGCTCCTGCCTCCCGGCTTCGGATTGGCGCAGCTCCGGCCTTGCGGCCATCTGGGGAGTGAACCAACAGATGGAAGACCTCTCTCTCTCTGTCTCTACCTCTCTCTGTAACTCTGTCTTTCAAACAAATAAAATAAATCTTTAAAAAAATAAAAAGAAGGCATCATGAATGGCACTTGGAAAATTATCTCAAAGCAGATTAAACTTATACAATGAACACCACAAAGATCTCTCAGGCTGATGACACTTATGGCCAAAGAAAAAGTCCAACAGGCTAGACAATAGAGAAGTACTCAAAACCAGACTCCAGGATAAAGTGAACAATCAGATACTAGGGTAAGTGCAGACCCTACAGCAGCAGGACACACGACCGAGAACAGTAGAGTACAAGAAGTCCCTAGAGAAAAAGCAATGCTAAGTGGCTGAAGGGATGCTTACTTCCACGGCTTCAAGGCAGCCTAGAGAGACCTACTTAGTCTAAGGATCACATAACTATGTGAACGCTGTTCAACAGAATCTCTAAGAACAATCTGAGGATGAGTGTGAAGAGAGGGGCAAGAGAAGTGAAACTCCTGATTAACTCTGCAAATCTGCTCCATCTGGGATTATGAAAAACCATATTTTCTTCCTTAAAACGCTCTAAACTGGAAAGCAGCACTTGGTTTGTATCACTAGATTTTTCTCTGTGTTGGTATTGTGTGTTGGTAGCTTTTACATACACTGAATTCAATATATCCCAGAAGCCCACTTAGATCAGTGTTCATGTTACAAATGGATGGGCTGGTTAAGTTTATTCCAAGGTATTTGATTGTTTTTGTAGCTATTGTGAATGGGATTGATCTTAGAAGTTCTTTCTCAGCCGTGGCATTGCCTGTGTATACAAAGGCTGTTGATTTTTGCGCACTGATTTTATATCATGCTACTTTTTGCCAATCTCTTCTATGAGTTCCAATAGTCTCTTAGTAGAGTTCTTTGGATCCCCTAAGTAAAGAATAATATCATGTGCAAAGAGGGATAGTTTGACTTCTTCCTTCCCAATTTGTATCCCTTTAATTTCTTTTTCTTGCCTAATGGCTCTGGCTAAAACTTCCAGAACTATATTGAATAGCAGTGGTGAGAGTGGGCATCCCTGTTTGGTACCAGATCTCAGTGGAAATGCTTCCAACTTTTCCCCATTCAATAGGATGCTGGCCACGGGTTTTTCATAAATTGCTTTGATTGTATTGAAGAATGTTCCTTCTATACCCAGTTTGCTTAGAGTTTTCATCATAAAATGGTGCTGTATTTTATCGAATGCTTTCTCTACATATACTGAAATAATCATATGGTTTTTCTTCTGCAGTCTGTTAATGTGGTGCATCACATTGATTGATTTGCGAACTCGTTCGTAACTTTGGGAGTCAGAGGCAATCAGACCCTGGGACTTGGGGAGCTCTTTAACCTTCTCTATCAATATGTTGCTGAAACACTATGCCAACTTGAACCTGAACACTAAGAAGAAATGGTTTGACCAAGGCTGCTAGCAAGACACGAAGCACTTTGCTACTGAGAGCAATGTAAGGGCAGCAGTTAAGACTAAGCAATGAGACTTATAGCTATCTGACATTGTCACAACCTCCAAGCCTGGGATTTTATATTTTATAAAAGCACTGGTAGTCACAAAGACTGGAAATTAAACAGAAAAACACCTGCCTCCTTACATCAGCTAGTTTGAGTAGCACTGTTTACAACACCTTCGATTCCTATAACACCCTCTGTGTGGAAAGGCAAACAGACTTTGTGCCTAACGCTAATAAAAAAAAAAAAAAAAAAAAGGAGACAATGTATAGCAGTTCCCCCTTATCTGAGGTTTTCCTTTCTTAGGTTTCTTACCAGAGACGAAGTTTTGTTTTGATACGTTGTTAATTGATCTATTTTATCATTAGCTGTTATTGCTAAATTGTACAGAAGGAAAACACAGTAGATACAGGGTTTGGTCTTATCTGCGGTTTCAGGCATGCACAGAAGGTGTTGGGATAATGTATCTCCCACAGATAAGGAGGAAATGCCTTGAAGTGGTTTTATGCCCAGTTCTTTATTTCTGAGTCTCCAAGTCACTTAGTCTTAGAATTACAGTCTAAAGGGGCCAGCACTGTGGTGTAGTGGGTAAAGCCACTGCCTGCAGTGCTGGCTTCCCATATGGGCGCGGGTTTGAGTCCCAGCTGCTTCACTTCCCATCCAGCTCTCTGCTATGGCCTGGGAAAACAGTAGAAGATGGCCCAAGTCCTTGGGCCCCTGTACAGGTTTGGGAGACCCAGAAGTGAAGAAACTCCTGGCTCATGGCTTTCGATCAGCCCAGCTCTGGCCATTACGACCATCTGGGGAGTAAACCAGAGAATGGAAAACTTCTGTCTCTCTCTCTGCCTCTGCCTCTTTGTAACTCTGCCTTTCAAGGAAATACATTAATTAATATAAAAAAAGAATTACAGTCCAAGTGCTTTGAAACATAGCCTTCCCTTGCTAGGTTAGCCTGACAAAATAGAAGTTAAGTGAACTAAAGGGAAAAAGAATCCTTACTACAGAGCATCTGATTTTGGAGAGAGTTATTTAAAACACTGCCTCTAATTATACTTTTAATGACTGAGGTCATGCTTCTGCCATAATAACAAGCCTTTCATAAACACTCATCCCCTGCCATCACAAGCGTCCTCCAGGCTGTACAACATTTTCTGTTTTAAGGTCAAGGAATAGTAACATGAAAGTGTAATGCAAGTGACCAGGGGTTCAAAATTAGTCTCGTGCATCAGGTCTAAAAGCTCTAAGAAGCACTCTGAGACGGAGACTCACTACCTGCAGGGAAGGTGCAAAAGGAAGGTGGTATCCCACGACTGGTAAAGGGTTTGGATATTCCCAAATGCTAAACTGTTTAGTAATTTGATCCAGAGAGAAATCTTAAGTAAGCATGTGTCTTCACATCTCATCATCTAGGAACTTCGGTCTCCTTCCACTGCTTGCTAGAAGCACACTTCTCTGCTCACTTGAAGGCAGGTGTTCCACGCAGCCTGCTTTGCTGCAGTGGAGACAACACCTGTCTCACCTGTGACAGAGGACGTCCAGGTGGCAGCTGCTCGAGGTCTAGGGATTAGAGCGCAGTCAACATGAAGAATCCGAGCCAAGCCACGAAGGATGCGTGGTGAATGGGAGACAGAAAGCTTGGTCTTGAGCCGCTGGACCTCGGTGAGTGACTTTGGCTAACCTCACAGTATGGATTTCCCCACTTAATGCAAATTCTGTTACAATTCTACCCATACAGTGAGATGCTAAGACAGTGAGACTAGTCTGACATATATGGAAAGAATTACATATTTAACCCTGCCAGAATGCTGACAACTATGTGGAAGAGTGTCGACTAAGCAGGTCTGAATGTTCTATGGAGCACTTGCTTGCAAGCTTGGCCCTTGGCTGGCATTGGGAAACTTATGTGTGGGGAGGGCTTCCAATACCTGAACATGGCTCACTGAACCTAAACAATCGTATCTGTCTCCTCCTGGAAGTCTGCAACTTTAGACAGGAGCAGCCTCCCAAGAAAGCCCCGGCCCTGCTTCCCAGTAAGCAGCATCTCCCTTGTATGGTCTCAACTTGTTGCTGAGGGAACTGATTCCATTCTATGTGACCCTGGAAGACTCAGGCCCCCGGACCATGCCTTCTCCCTGTACTGATTTGCTTTGCAATGGTTCACAGTAATAAATCAGAGTCACAAGCATAAAGCAATGCTGAATTCTGTAAGTTCTGTGAGTGAATCTATAAACTTCAAAGTGGGACCCAAAGACAACACCAAAATACATTCCTGTAACATTATTTGTGAGGGAAGGGAGGATAATGTGTATGGTTTTCAGAAAAGGGGTGTGAAGGGGTAATTCCTCCATTACTAAAGCACACATGACATAAACTGGTCTCCTTCCAACATACCCACTTCCTTTTTATGACAGGGGAGCCCCCATGATTTAATCTAAGAAATGTAATGCTGAAGTCATCCTGGTACCTAGGGAATCTCTCTCTTTTGGATGCTCTGCACAGCACACATGCCACATGTGCCCCTGTGTTAAACAGGCCTCCAAGGCATTGCACGGAATTGTAAATAAGTGCACATTCACACAGGAAACGCTTCCACTGGAAACACACACGCCAAAGATCAAAGGAAAATAAACGCACCGTAATTGTCAGCCGTCGTATCTGACTTCTCAATCTGGATGTTCTGAGTGACTTTTGGACAAATTTCAATTTCCTTGTACAGCTGAAAATGACAAAGAGGAGTCACTTAGGGTTGCACCATGAACAACTGCGTTATTCTGTAAACCTCTCTGCCTTCATGACTGATACCTGAACGCAAATTCACACTGCATCTCCGTTCTTTTAATTACCTGAATCCATTCACAGCCAAAGTAGAAACTTGCAACTCACATTTCCAAACTTAAGGACAGTTTGGTGTCAAAATAATTCCCCAACATCACTCTGTATATTATCGTGCATTTATCATAACCTTGAAAAACATACTAACGTAATCAAAATCTCCATTTCTTCTTTACTTTATATATGCTAAATTGATCTTCTGTATATAAAGATAATTGAAAATGAATCTTGAGGTGAATGGAATGGGAGAGGGAGTGGAGATGGGAGGGTTGCGGGTGGGAGGGAAGTTATAGGGGGTAAAAAGCCACTGTAGTCCAAAAGCTGTACTTTGGAAATTTATATTTATTAAATAAAATTTTTAAAAACTCTCCATTTCTGGGGGAGGGAGAAGTTTATAAAATCAGAAAGAGACTATAAAGATGTAGGCATGGGATTCGTGGGAAACACGAGAAATCTCTGTGTTTCCTTCCCTCTCTCTTCACATACCACTTTTGCCTAGAAAGTTCATCACAATGCAAACAGGTAGAGAAAAATGACAAAACTGAGTCAGAAAATTATCTGGATGACTTAAGTACACAGTTTAATTAACTGTCTATAAATCCAAGAAAACCTGGAAAAAGCTTTTGTTTTAAAAAAAAAGGCAAGGTGTTGTGATTGAAGTTAATGGATGTTTCACTTGCATTCTTGGACCTGTGACACTGAGACATCAACTTCACACACAGTTTGCACCACATAGCCTTGCCTCTCCCACTCAGTCAGAGATAAATGAACATCTCTATTTCACAAATAAAGGGAGTAAGGCTGGAGAGAAAGTACTTTCTTGAGTTAATAAATCTAGAAGGGGCAGAGCTGGGGTTTGAACCCAGAACTCACTGGCTTCAGGGTGAAGCTATCTCTAACCAACTCCTATGCCTCCCACACCAGCTCCTGGTAGAACTCACAAATTTGGGGCCGGCACCGTGGCTCACATGGTTAATCCTCTGCCTGCAGCACCAGCATCCCATATGGGTGCCGGGTTCTAGTCCCGATTGCTCCTCTTCCAGTCCAGCTCTCTGCTGTGGCCTGGGAGGGCAGTGGAGGATGGCCCAAGTGCTTGGGCCCCTGCACCCACATGGGAAACCAGGAAGAAGCACCTGGCTCCTGGCTTCGGATTGATACAGCACCGGCCGTAGAGGCCATTTGGGGAGTGAACCAATGGAAGGAAGACCTTTCTCTCTGTCCCTCTCTCTCACTGTCTATAACTCTACCTGTCAGATAAATTAAAAAAAAAAACTTTCCTGCTCACAGGGTAGAGCAAGGATAACAACAACAACAACAACAACAACAAAAACCAACTTACAAATTTCAAAGTAAAGGGAATCAACCTTCTTCTTCTTATCTAAGTGAGCCAAAGGTTTAAATCCAAAATTTTAGATAAAAATCCAAAACAAATAAATGTGTTGAAGACTAATACAGAATTTAGAAATTATTTGATCTTGAAATGAAGATAGAGTTTGAGCCAAGGTCAAAAACAGAAAATGTATCCGTTAGCAAAAAATCTGAGAGGTCTTGGTGATTATCTCAACATGTTCCCATGTCTGACTACATAGTCATCCACTCGGAAATAATTTTATTCAGGCAAGTAGCAAAGAATGCCAGCTTCTTTCTCTTTATTTGCTTCAGGCATTTGAGAGGTGAATATAACGCCTAATGCAGGAGTCCAGAAAATTCAGCAGTAAGAGAAGGCAAAGGGATTGGGGTTGGGGGTACTGCAAGCATCAACAGCACAGCCTGGATCACCTTCCACAGCCTAATTCTCTGCAACTTCCATTGCAACCGTGCAATGAATGCAAGCGGATAAGGGCAGCATCGAATGTGCATTCATTCTGACACATCATGAATTGTTCACGCAAATAAATTGCCAAATGAGAAAAAATCAGTCACACTGGTGATTAGTTCACCAAAATGATAAACGCCAAATTCAATAAAGTTTATAATATATACTCTATCACTCAAGAATGCTGGATAAAACATTATCCACTGTGTTTGCTTCACCTTAATTGGAGTCTTCTTTATTTTTTAAACTTCCCCGAGGCCAAGCCCTTCCCCCAGGTGGCAGTATACAACTGTTCAATGCTTTCCACAAAGAACAACGGAGAAGGCAGCTTTATGATGCTCCTTCATCAAGACCACCTTCTGCCGTTCTTTGGAATGGCTGTGAAACTTTTCATATCAGTGCTAGTCTCAGAGGATAATTTGGCATCATACACAAAGGTCCCTGGGCCACACCATTCTTTCTTATGCTAGTTAGCCTCAAGCTAGATTTAGTTAAAAGCTATAATAAAATCCATAATATTTCAGGAAGGTTCTGTGCTCTCAGATCTATTTTTAGAGTCACTACAGTATCTAGAACAATACACTCAAATATCTTCATATAGCAATACCATTCACAGTGCAGAGACACATACTGAAGATATTTCTAGAATTAAAAGTTAAATTTATTTAGAGGCAAAATTTTTTTCAAATCCATGCAGAGTGTTTTCATACTCTGGTTTCTCTTCAGATCATATAAATCTTTCGGCTTTTACATAATATGAATTTTCCATGAAAGTTTTAAAGACCCCCCTCATACACATAGATGTCAAAATGGTTGCCCCAAATATACTTATCTTTTAATTCTATTTTCTACAATCTTTGAAAAAAACTCCCGTTGTATTCCCTTTCTTTTATTAAATTAATGGCATCATATATTTTTCCTCTTCTCAAAAACCACGAGAGAAGATCAACAGCATTTAAGGAACATTTTGCTAACTTAAGCACTTGACTGCTCACAAAATCATGAATACTTCTGTCCAATGTCTCTTTTGAGTGCCTGGTCCAAACTACTCTCCCATGTCACCTCCACTATGGCTCCTCACCTCCTACTGGCTCTGCCTGCTCATTTTCTTATGCCTTGTGGTTCACTCACCACTTATCTGCCAGAGTAAACCTGGCAACAGGGGTCAAATACAGCCATGCTTCAGTAACTGGGGGCAACTTGTCCCGGGATCCAGCAAAGATATGAACATCCTACACAACATCCTCTTCTATAGTTTAAATAATCTCTAGATTACTCATAATATCTAATGCAATGTAAATCTTATGCAATTAGTCATTGTATTGTTTAGGGAATAATGACAATTAAAAAAAGTTTCAATGTGTGCAGAACAGACATGACCACTGGCAGGCCTAATTCCATAATACAGATCAGCAGCAACCTACCATTTTCCTTTAGATACTTTCAGTATTTTTAGATGAATCCAAGGATGAAGAACCTGTCCTTTATCTCCTGGGGTTTTTCATTTCACTTAGGCTCTCTACAGACCATACTGAGTCCCTCCTCCCATCACCTCCTGCATCCCCCTGTTACCACCCTCTCCATTCGGCCTTTAAGTTTAAACACACCAGGGAAAGGACCTCCACACCCACCCTGCCCCAGCCTTAGCCAACTTTATTTCCATCTCTAGAACACTTCTTTCTAAAAGACCTCTATGACTCACGCTCTGTTCACTCACCTTCCCATTCCAATGTCATATCTGAAAGAGCATCAGATCCACTCCCAAATGTCCTGCTCCTCTCTATCCACCTGTCCTAAAGTCTTGTTTTTCCAAACGGGGAAGGTCCACTGACATGCGACACAGTGAAGTTTTTCTATCTCTGCAAACTTGAAGAGATGTCCTGATGGGAGCCAAGTTTTGTTTTTATTTTTGTTTTTGTATGTGTGTATATGCGTGTGTGTATGTGTGTGCGCATATCCCTGGTGCCTAGAACAGCTACCATAGAGCCAAGCAGACAAATGCTAAATAAATATCTGCTGGATGAATAAATAAATTGATCTGAGATTCTGGAAACTCTTTATTCCCACCTGTCATTTTTAAGAAAAACACACTCAGTGTGGAATTTTGCAAAACCAGTGACTTTATAGACTACAACTATATTAGCAATCAATTCCATGGACTGCATCCAAAAATAAACTTCACTGTGAAAAAGTAGTCCAGTCCAACAGGTATCACTTGCATGAACACAAGTGAAGATGATAAATCAATGACTACTACTGGTTATCCATAAGCAAGAGAATCCTCTGACCCCCAAGATAAGCATAGGAGATCCTCCAAATGGAGCTTTAAAATCAAGTACAAGGGCCAGTGAGGAGGCATAGTGGGTAAAGCCACTGCCTGCAGTACCGGCATCCTATATGGGTACCGGTTCAGGTCCCAGTTGCTCCACTCCTGATCCAGCTCCTTGCTATGGCCTGGAAAAACAGTAGAAGATGGCCCAAGTCTTTGGGCCTCTGCACCCACAGAGGACACCTGGAAGAAGCTCCTGGCTCCTGGCTTCAGATTGGCTCAGCTCCATCAGTTGTGCCAACTGGGGAGTGAACCAGCAGATGGAAGACTTCTCTCTCTCTCTCTCCCTCTCTCTCTCTCTCTGCCTCCTCTCTCTGTGTAACTCTGACTTTCAAATAAATAAACACATATTTAAAAAATCAAGTACATACTTTTGCTAGTAACTATTACCTTACTACTGAAGGCTGGTTGTTAAAACAATGGCACAAAATAAAATATGAATGAGTCATTTATGGGAAGAGTGGCTTCAAACAACTGCAAGCTTTCCCTGTACATCAAAATCAAAATAAAGCTGCAGGTATTTGGCTTAGATGTTAAAATGTCAGTTAAGACACCAGCGTCCCACAGTGGGGCGCCTGGATTCCATACACCGCTCTGCTAATGTGCACCCCGGGAGGCAACAGTGATGGCTCAAGTGACTGGGTCCCTGTTACCCACACTGGAGACCTGGACTGAGTTCCTGGCTCTGGACATCAGCACCAGAGTGAGGGCCACGATGGCCATGTAGTTAAGTGAACTGGCCAGCAGAAGCTCTTCGTCTCTGTCTGTCAAATAAATCGCATGTTCGGTAAATGACAATATATTCAATATCTGCATGCTCTCAAAAAGCATCCAGGAATGCTCTGTGTTAAAGTCTCTCCCTAAGAATGACACAAAGGACCTAAAACAGGGATTTGAAAATATCTAGAGACATGGCTAGAACTTAAGGCGGGGGGGTGTCTTTGAGCTTCGATGGTTAAAAATAAGGTATCTTTATATTTAGAAATTTTTAACTGAAAATATTGCTTTGTATCACTAATGAATACAAGCAACAAGCACACCAGTATAAACAGTGCCTGTAGCTTCATCACGAGTAGAAGTCAGTTATTTTCATATCACATTCCAGCTGTATCTAAAAATGTTATTTGTGCTCATCATTACTTCAGAACAGTGGTAGCTACTGGAGCTACCACTAAGTCCTATAATTTAATGAGCCAATAAATGGCACATATATTATCTATAACTTTAAAATATTTTTGTAGCCCTATATATTCTATTTCATGCAAATGAAAACATCATTTTGATATGGAGTCTGGATGCTTCCCCAGATTGCACAGGTATTTCAAGTATAAAAAAGTTAAGAATTTTATTATAAATACATGTGCTAAAATGAGCAAAATAATGGCATTTGCTTCCTTAAGGATTTCTGGGCTGGAGACCTCTGCAACATGGCAAAAAGAATATCCTGGTCTCTCTGACCTTTAGATTCTTTTTTTTTTTTTTAATTATAATGAGAATAATACAATTGTAGATTCAAACAAATTAAGCTTGGCACACTTTGGTCTTTTATGTGGGAAGAGACCACACAATCACTAAAGCTTAAAAATAGTAAATGAGTCAGTGCAGTTTCAAAAGATCTATCACAAGCACAAACAGCTCCTGTGTAAGATACGGGAGACATGGAAACTGGTTAGGTCTGATCATTGTACTTTAGGGTGAGAAAGATCCATCAAACCCAAAATGCAAAATATATGATCTAATTGCTATGCAGGTATTATCAGCTTTGTTCTTAAGTAAGGAAGAGGATTTTCTCCTCTACTCGTCGAGCACAAAGACTGGAGCTTTTCCCAGGCCAGAGGAAGAAGACAGCCACAGCTCTCTGCTCACCTTACCTTCCCCTATAACACAGTGATGGAAGTGACAGTTGGAAGGGGACTCATCATTTTGATCTTTTTCTATTGTATAACATGATAATAAGAGTATTACAAAATTACACCCTCTCTTCCATTTCCTTAAAATGACTTAAAGGGGCACAAAATAATCTTGTACGATGACAGATGTTCCAAATCATGATCACAGTGGTGGCAACATGACCGTATACATTTGTCAAAACTCATTAAGTGCGTGCTTCTAATTGATTAAGATTTTATTAAATGTAAAATATATCTGCACAAACTTGATTAAAACCAAAGTTTCCTAATGGATTTTATATCATGCTTCCTTTTTCCAAAAAAAAAAAAAAATTGGGGTTTGAATTTTTAGTTCTGCTTTCTGCGGTAAAACTCTGTCTGAAGTCATGTTGCTGTCACTCAACGTATCCATGGCAAGCAGCTCCGCAGCCCCCAGAGGAATGACTAAGGACAGAGAAAGAGAAATGATTTCCAAAAGAGAGGCGCCTTGCTCCCAAAATGTCTCTTTACTGGAACTGAAAAATGCACCACCCAGCTAACAAAAAAAGGAACTTGTCCCTGGTTTATTACAATAACAACCGTTAGCATTGACTATGTGAACCATTATCTCTAATCTAAGGAATATCATCTCATTTTCCCCCAATTCTACATGATTACTAAGCATAGGAGCAAAATAGAAAGCCGCATTTCATTCTGAACCGAAGTCCCATAAATACGTTGAAATTCAAACATACACAAATGTTGCCAAGAATCTACATAAATGCAGTTCCAAATGGCTGGAACACATAATCAGATGGCAGTGCGGATCATCCCCCAACAAATCTGGCCCATCAGTTTCAATATACATGTGGAAGTCACACAAAATTGGAAGCAGTGCTTTTTTTTTTTTTTTTTTAACAACAGTCAGCTGATCTTTTGAGTCACAAATTTAAAATAAAAGACTGTAGAGGCTGCAAGGAAAGCTAGTAATAATGATGAAAATTCTATCTGAGTGTGAGCTCTGGATTTCAATATTTCCCAACAGCACAGCACTGCTCCTTCGGTCAACAAAGGTGGCATTTGCACTCTGTGGAAAGAGTCTGATCAGTGAGGCCATGCACCAACCCGAAGCTCATTTAGTTTAGAACTCGTTCCACTTCACCAACCACCATTAACACAAATACACACATAATTTGAAAGTCATCTCCTGTAAAATGCACTTGGATAAGAGTCGTAAACATTACCAGCTCATAGATGTCCTCCTCGGGCTGCGGAACGTAGAGCTGCACCTTGTTTTCTATTAGGAATTTCAGACGCAGGTAATGAGCAGAATGATCCAGCTGATGTGTCTGAGACAAAATGGAAAGAATAGTTTGTTCAGGGGTAAATAGGCATCATTAGGCCTCCAGAGAAACAGCATTAAGTATTTGCAAGAACAAGGGGAATTTGTGGATGGAGGAGGCAATGCGGGGTTTCTGTACTTCTTAAAAGGCCTGTGTTCAAAACTCAAATTTCAAAATAATTTTAAGTGAACACATTAATAATATGCCTTGGGTCTGATTCAATGGAAACAACTGAGCCACACTTCCTTCTGCCTTCTTTGAATCAGTGAACTCTTCAGCGTTAGTTTTTCAACAAAAACCATCAGATAAGAGATCCACAACATTGTTTTCAGCATATACAGGTGGTTAAAGAAGAAAAATGACAAAAAGGCAGGGAAGTATTAACAGTGACAGAGAAAAGCTGTGCCCAAGCAAAGTTGTTTTTGTAACCAACCACATGGGGACATTGGAACAGTTGTTAACTGTTCATTTGCAAAGCGGGTCAGTGTGCAGATAAGGCATTTGAGTATCAGTCTTATTTATATACTCCCGAGTGAGACTCCCTCTGGGGCAGCGCAAGCAGGCATGTGTCCAAATTTGGAAACACACTGAATAACTTGTTGAAAGAAAACAATTCCAAAATAGTTAGGGATTGAAATTTCCAGAGCCACTACTTTAATTCAGGATGATCCAACAGATTTTTTTTTTTTCAATCAGGAAAAGCCAACTTTGAATTAAATTTGAGGGAAAAGCAACCGTGACAACATAGTTTTATACATAATTCTCAATAGACAATCTAAAAATTCAGAGGAAAAGAAAATAAAATGTTCTTCAACAGTTACACAGGGACACGCATTTGGTTCAAGAGGTTAAGTCACAGTGAGGGTCACCTGCATCCCATATCGGAGTGTCTGGTTCATATCCCAGCTACCCTGCCTCCAATCCAGCTTCCTGTTAATGTGCATCCAGAGAAGCAGCAGGTGCTGTCTCATGTATTCAGGTCCTTGCCACCCATGTAGGAGACCTGGATTGAATTCCTAGCTCTTGACCTGGCCTAGTCCTGGCTATTAAAAGCATTTCAGGGAGTGAACCAGCAGATGTCTCTATCTCACTGCCCTTCAAATAAGGTGCAAATTCATCTTTTTTTTAAAGTGATTCAGGGGATGAGGCATTTAGTCTAGTGGTTAAAGGCCCATATCCCACATCAGAGTACCTGTGTTTGATAGCCAGCTCAAACTTTTGGCTAATGCAGACCATGTGAGGCAGCAGGGATGGCTCAAGTAATTGGGTTTCTGCCACGTGGATTGCGATCTCTGGCCCTGGCTTCAGCTTTGGCACAGCCATGGCCACAGTAGGCACTGGGGAAGTAAACCATGAATAGGAGTTTCTATTTCTCTCTTTCTCCTCTCACTTTATGTCTCTCTGCCTCTCAAAATATAAGTTATATGGCAACACAAAAATATATTGCTGGAGAAAAAATGTTTAAGCTATATAGTTTTCAAGTGTTTTAATCTTTTAGAAATATATCCTGAAAATCCTGAAATATATCCTGGATATATATTGTAAGGTAAATGACATGATGTCTGAAATTTGTTCTTGTAATAATCTAGATTGGGGTATGGAGTGAGTGAATGAATGCACAAAAGTTAATGTGATAATTATAGATCCCAGATGAAAATATAATGACTTACTATACTGTTCTCTACTTCTATATAAATTTGAAATTTTTATAGAGTAAAATGTACAATCTCTTCATACCCAAAGCTTTACTGATTAGAGGTATGCCAAAATAAATGAAGCTAACTTGTAACTGACTTAGTACTTTCCATTTAGCCTGTCCTCCACACATATATTTGTTTTTTAAAAACATATTATACCCACAGCGTTCCAAGACTCATTTCAATAATATTCAGTCACAACTAACAGACCCATAAGTGTCCTAGACATCATATGAAACACTGAAAATATAGAAATTAACAAAACAAATGCAATCCTCAGGAGTGTGTGTATAGCTGTGGGAAAGAATATGTAAAAAAAAGAGAAGTCAGGCAGTGATGATTTAGTTTTTGAATAAGTACAGGATGAGCATCCCACATTGATGCAAAAACACATTTCCAGAAAGTAGAAACGAGTTTGTCCTGAACAGCTAGCAGAACAGTAAAGAAGTTTTCTATCACATTCTTGGGACTTTCAACACGTAGCCCAGCTTAAGTAATGGGAGAGTGTGGCACTCGCTGTGGACACAGATGCCGCTGAGTAGACCCATCCTGCATACCTGTACCTGGCTTTCATCCTTTCCCTACCTGTATTTGAGACTGGATGCTATCATCTAACAGACCCAGGATTGCTGATGTCAAAGCTACCAAGAATGGATGGGTAAACTCAGGGCAGCACAAAATGGGCACCTTATGTGTGCTACCCACTGCTTGTCAGAGAGCCACCAGGACAAATGAACAACACAATAATATTTAGGCTGATGAATCAGCAAGAATGATTTCTTCAGAGATAGAGGCTACGAACACTTCCCACCTATCCAGGTCCTCACTGAAGTCTTTAATTAGAAGCAAACATTTTGGTTCACCATCTGTTTCTGACTGAGGCGGAAGGAAAAGAGAAATGAAATTTCATGGGGTCTTAGTAAAAGGAAACAAATCCACCTGGAAACCGTATGGGCATCATTAATAAGCACCCTATGGGCACCCCCTCGGAGATGGCCACTGATACACTCTGTCTTCCGGAAATCAGGCCAAAACACTGACCTCACCTCGGGAGCTTCCGGCTCTGGAAACCTCAGTGTGAGAGAGCCACTGCCAGGCACCCAAGAGCTTACGGGGGTCAGAGCAAAGAGCACAGGGATCCCCGCTACGCCTGAAACTCTTGCTGTGCTGGAAACACAGATTTGTTCAGAGATGGCTGACAATAGACCACACTGTGGCCAAGGCACCTCACTGACAATGGTTATAGCCGTGCCGAGGACAACAGAATGATATGGGCCAGCAGTGACAAGAATGATTCTTGCCACCACTTGTACTGCATGCCTTGCCATCATGTTTTCCAAAACTCTTTAAATTACAACAATGTCTTGATAATTTTCAAGAATAAAAATAAGCACCAGCCACAAACTTTAAAAATATGATGGCCTTATTTTATCACCTAAGAGCCTAGTTTGGACAGTAAATCATTGCCCTAAAAACAAGACAGTGGATCAAAATGACAGTATGTCTTTTTGTTTCGGTAAAAGTTTCTGAATCATGACCCTCGTTAGTCATGGCTGGTCCAACATAAAGGACAAATCCTAATGAGCTAATTATATCTGATCATCAGAACTCTTGAGAAGAATTTTATGCTCTTCAATATCAAAGCAGGGTGAACAACCAACTGTGTTCACAGTACATTTTTGTATAACAGAATCCCAAATGCTAACAAATATTTTAAGTTATTATTTCTTTGAGCAGGGCTTGCTTTAGATTTGTAAAACATTCAAGACAAAATTTCCTAACACAAGAGAAATTCACTTAGGAAAAACAGTATAAATCTGTTTTCCAACATACTCAATTCACTTAAGCTAAGCAGAGCATTTGATTAATTTTAAGGCAATGCAGCTACAAACTATACCATAAAATAAATATTGCAGAATAATTTTTACTTCACTTGGCATACTTTTTTAAATTCACATTTGAAAGGAAGAAATAGTAAAACATAATGCAGATCTTTTCAGTAAATAGCTTCAGCCAATTAAAACAGATAACAGGTTTCAGAATTATTTGTCTTGGATCTTCTCATTCATCATGTTTTGCTCTTCTGTATTCCTCCATTTCAATCAAACTTCTCTGGGAAACCCAAACATGTACTTACAGAAAACAGAAACCCATATACATACACAAACACATAAAGTGCTGTTACAGAATTTTCAAAGACGTTATTCCTCCCTTTCAAAGTTACCTTATAGTTTGTGGATGCCAATGGTTATTAGAATATATAACTAAAGTCATAGGCCAACATACTGAACGCATGAAACAAAACTGACACCATGGTCACATGTGAATAGTATCAGTGAGTATGACTAAATAGATTTTTTGCAATTATTTTTATAATTGCAATGATCAGAACACATCTAAAACTTATAGCCTAACATTGTTACCTGCTATATTTAGCAACAATCTTTGCAGAAACATCTATAACATGAATTGCACATGAAATGTAGATCTTGAAACATTTGCTGTACCAGAACTTGACTGGTGATCAGATGGCAGATGGCAAACTGATGTGAAATGATGTGGATCAGATAGAATAGGAAAGAGAATGAGCTGAATGCAAGAGACACAAGAAAGAGATTGATTATTAAATATTAGAGAAGGCATCTATCACCGACACAGAGCATGATAATAATGAAATAAAATAAAATACAGGCATTGTTAACAATCGTCTTGGTTGTCAATCCCTCCTTCAAAAATGAAAAACAAAAACAAAAACCTCACCATTCGATCACATCGCTAATAACATGTGGCACTGTTTCCTCCATTATCCTTTTCCCTTTTAAGAATAAAATTGGCTCCACTAATTACAATAACTGTTTTTCAAAGAGGCAGGCTTCAGATGGCACCTGGCTCTGAGCACACTATAATTTATCCTGCATGGAGCTTTTCCAGAGGCCATCAATTCCTTAATGTGCACTGCAAAAGTTTTCTGTTTTTAAACTCCTGAGACGTAAGCTTGTTCCACACCACGTTTTCTTCTTTCTATTTCCCAGGAAAACAGAACTGAAGACCCAGGACTTAGTGGGCAGGACGACCTTTTATTGTTACAGAAAGGGATGTGTGTTCTAATGATGCCATCAGCAACCTCTCAAGTGACTGAAATAAACATTTTGTACAGGAACAGATCTCCACCATTATTTAAAAATGGTCTCTAGGTGGCAGTGACAATATTACTCTATTCCTTTCATTTCTACCAAAGCAAAACCTTGAAAAGTACCTAAAATTGGGCCACCCACTCATTGCCCCACCAGTGATCAATTTTCTGTCAATCACCAGGTACAGAAAGCTTTGGCTTAATTATTGATTCCTGGCTGCTCCTAAAGCTGAGGAGTACAAGGTGTTCCAAAGCCAGGCAATTCTCTGGAAATGCTTTCTAGAATCTGGCAGACACAAAAAGGCCAGAGTCCTACTTCTGAACACCTTGTGGTGCAGATCCCAGGGCGCCTCCCACAGCTCTGCGGAATGTTAATGGGTCTCTAAAGAACCCTGCTAATCTATAAATAAAGGAACACAGGAATCCTCAGTAGACCCATTTTGTTAAGAAATGAAAATGAAACATGGTAGTGAACAGCCATGCTATTATCTTCAAAAGCTGGGAGTCAGGTACACCAAGGACCCAAAGCACACAAGGTGACATCATTCACATTTAACATCCTATGTGGGGGGCTGATTTAAGCATTGTACCAAAACAACTGCTTTTCCTCCACATGAGATTATCTGAAAGCTTATTTCAGCTGAATTGTTCCACTTCAACCACTCACAGGAAGAGCCACATATTTTTTTTCTTTAAAAAGGCTCTAATGATTCAAACAAGGAAAAACATAAAACTGCTGTTTGATGAAATACAGGATGAAGGTATTTTCTACGATAGTAACAGTTATTCGGAAGAGGGAACCTAAAAAAGTTCATGGAAAATGGAATAAGCTTATCTAAGTACAAAAAATTTTTTGGCATCCATGCACAGTGTTTTCATAATATGCATTTCCCATGAAATTTTTGATGACCCCTCAATACACATGGAGTTCTTTTTACACCCAAATAAACTTATCTTTTAATGCCATTTTTCACAAGTTTCTTGAAGTAACTTTGTATGTATGAAGCATTGTGTTAAAGAAGTCTCAGGGCGGGAGTCATGGCAGAACAGGTCAAGCCAACACTTAGAATGCCGACATCCCAATCAGAGTGCCTGGTTTGAGTTGTAGCTATTCCGCTTCCCATCTAGCTTCCAGCTAATGCAATCCTAACAGACAGTAGGTGACGGCTCAAGTACTCAGGTATTTGAGTCCTTAAAATACATGTGGGAGATTCAGATGGAGTTCCAGGCTCCAAGCTTCAGCCTGGCATATTGAGGGCATTTGAGGAATAAACCAATGAATGTTAGATTTCTCTTTCTCTCTCTCTCTGTCTCTCAAATAAAAATAAGCACTTTCTTAAAAAATGAAGGAGTCTTAAAAATGTAATTTTATTCATCCAACTTTTTTTTTGCACGGTTTTTATTTATATGAAAGTCAAAGTTACAGAGAGAGAGGGAGAGACAAAATCTTCCATCCATTGGTTTACTCTGAAAATGGCCTCAGCAGCCAGGGCTAGGCCAGGAGCCAGGAGCTTCTTCCAGGTCTCCCACATGGGTAGCAGGGTCCCAAGTTCTTGAGCCATCCTCTGCCGCTTTCCCTAGGCAATTAGCAGGAAGCTGGATCAGAAGTGGAGCTACCAGGACACAGACTAGTGCCCATAAAGGATGCCAGTGGCACAGGCAGTGGCTTTACCTGCTACACCACAATGCCAGTCCCACCCAACTTCTTCTAGGACAAAATTATGGCAGTAAAGGTTTCTACTTTCCCTTCTGTAGCCCCAAGGAAAATCAGTTCACTCCCCTAAGAATATATTCTAGAGTCTTCTGAATATATGGACCATCCTTCATAAAGACTGTCCCAGGTTCTGAGAGTTCTTGTGACTATCCACCTGCCACAGTGGGAAACACCCAGGTTTGGAGCAGCCAGATTTGGAGTAGGTCTCTGTATATGGTGATGTGAGCTGCTGCAATTCACTAAGGCTTTTTGAGCTTTTTTTTTTTCCCCATCTGTGAGATGGGGAAGCCACTGTCCCTCATACATGATGTGACTAAAAAACAAGCAGTCCTATTAAAAAGTCATTAGTAACTAATTATTATGCTATTAATCATGTAAAGTATCCTTGCACTATTATGCTATTAATTGTGTAAAAATAAAAACATGCATACAAGAAAAGCTCTCTTTCTTCCTTCCCCCTTCCTCCCACCTAAGGCCACTCCCTTGGCCAGCCCCTTCAGGGGGACAAAAGGAAACCAGGTTCACTTTGAAAAGGATCAAGACGTTTAGTTAGTTTAGGGCTATGACAAGATTGATTTTGTGTTCACAGGATGAGGAACTATCCCATCATGGAAATCAAAGTGAAACTCATTTCAGTTTGTCCTGCTTTAAAGACAGTGCAGTACAACAGTTACTGATCATAGAGCAGGTCACAAGAGAATACCTGTGGCATCATTAAATGCAGGTCTGTGTATGTGTATAGCAAGAAGAATGCAAGGACAAATAGCAAAATGCTTACAGTGGTTAATTTTGGGTTTGGTGAGTAGGGGTGGCCTTAATGTGTTTTATCTCGATTTTCTGAAGTGTGTGCAGTGAGCATATAACATGTTCATTGTAAATTTATTGCATGCACACACTGAAAAGGTGCTACTTAGAAAAGCCCCTCTCCTCCTTCATGCGGAACATTTCCTTACATTATGTTTATTATCACAAAGGATTCTAAAGCTGATCTGAAAAGAAACGAAGTGCTTTCTTAGCACCTCCCTCTGCCATCTGACTCTGGTCTCCACGAGTGCCTGGGAAGATTTCTCCACCCCATGCTGCTCTTCTCAGGAGACAAACTAATCTCCATACCTTGCAAATCAGTTCCAGAGTGTCCCGTGCGGTGTCTCCTGGCCGGACCACTGTCAGAGCTGGCTGGTTATTGGGCAGACAGAACCAGGATGGAGAGAAATACTCGTGGACCCAAATGTCGCAGTCAGGATTGTGCTGGTGGACACTAGGTAAGACCACTTCTTTCTCCCTCTAAAAGAAGAAACAAAGTTAGTGGAGCAGCGGACCTCTGAAGACTTCAGACCCTTAGATTGGGCATAGGGATTACCTGTTCTCAGGGCAGAACCAATGGCTACAGTGGGAGGTACAAGAGACCCTTGGAGAGAAAAGGCAGCTGTTCAGAAAGGATTTTTGTGGCCACAAATATTTCTGATCTCAGAAAAGAACTTCACACCTGGCCCACACAGCATTCATAGGTTAGCATGACATGAATTAAGTGGGTATTGAAGTTTGAAAGAAAGCAAGAAATCAGGTCATCCATTCAACTCTACTGCTACTATTTCTTCCACAGACCCATAAAAACTCTTTTTTTTTAAGATTTATTTAATTATTTGAAAGGCAGAGTGACAAAGAGGGGGATATGCACACAGAAACACAGGAAAGAGACTGAGAGAGAGAGAGAGAGAGAGAGAGACAAAGAGACTCTTCCATATGCTGATTCATCCTCCAAATGTCCAAATGGATGCAACAGGTCTGAGACAGACCAAAACCAAGAGGCAAAAATTCCTTCCAGGTCTCCCACACGGGTGGCAGAGGCCCCAGTATTTGGGCCATCTTCTGTTGTCTTCCCAAACTCATTAGTAGGAAGCTGGATTAGCAGTGAAGTAGCCAGAACTGGAACCAGCACTCCAATACAGGACGGCAGCATCATGAGCTGCAGCTTGACCTGCTGCACCACAACGCCAGCCTCCCACTTCAACTTTCAAGCACAGAATTCTAACAGCAAGAGTACAGGCCTGTGAAATTTAGGCTTCAAAGCAACAATGAGGTTCCAAGGAGAATTTTTTTTCAAGACAATGTGCCAGCACCATCTATTTATAGGTAGTATCATTTCTGGGCTCTCCTTGAACCTCATGTCTGGGAGATAGACAGCTCGACTTTCCAGATGAAGTTCCAAGAGTTTCAAGGATGCGCCACACAGCAGGAGGGGGCAGAAACCAGCCTCCTTGAAAACCACCATCATGCTGTCCTCTACCTACTATGCCTGGAGATGGGGAAGCAGTATGCAGTCTGTAAATGGGGGAGAACACCAAAGGTTAAATCTATGCAGGCTAAACAGCTGAAGTAGAAAACACTCACAGACTGATGAAAGGTTAGGAGTCCAGTGAAAGACATGAGAAAAGATTGATGTGGACCTCAGCAATTCAGTTACAATGCTCGGGGTGTGCTTGGTAATATGCCTGGATTATTGCTGTATACAGGCCACTGCTTGGAAATACATATCTATAGATTTCCAAGAACAAACTCTAGCAAATTATAATAAGAATCAAATTTCCAAGTGAAGACTGGGAGGTGGCACCATAACAACTTCCATACATTAAGAAAACAAGATCTGGGCCAGCTGCCCCACATATCAGAGAGCCAATTAGAGTACCAGCTGCTCTGCTTCCAATCCAGCTCCCTGCTGATGTTCCTGGGTAAGTAGCTGAAGATGACCCAAGTATGGTGGGCCTGCTTTAAAGACCCCGATACAGTTCTTGGCTTCAGCCTGGATCAGCCCCAGCCATTACAGCCATTTGGAGAGTGAACCAGCAGATGGAAGATCTGTGTGTGTGTGTGTGTGTGTGTGTGTGTCAATCTGCCTTTCAAATAAACAAATTCTTTGAAAAAATGGGAGGGGGAATCCACAAGTGGGGAAACGTTTTAATAAAGAATACCAAGTTAACCCAAGTGCAGAAGATACTTTCAGTACTGCTTTGAACAGTGTTGCCCTCCGAGCTGGACCCTGGGGAAAGAATTGTCAGAAAGTGGTCAACGCGCCTGCATCTCATTAACTATAACTGAATCTTCCTATGGAGTTCCCAGGCACCACATTAAGTAAGTGCCACTTTGCACGGAATACACCCAAGTTTTGCATCTAAACTGCTCTTTGAGAACACAGAATTGTAGCCAGGAGGTGAGATAAGGAGGTATCTTGGAAAAATGGAAAACCAAAAAAGTTATATAGAAATCCAATGGAAAAACATTTGTATATTCTGTATGCTAGAGAGGATATATCAACATTAAAAATGTGGTAATAGGGTATGTAAGATGAATTAGTCAAGGCCAGAAATAACCAAGTCGACATCAAAAATAATACTCGGACTGCATATAGGTACACCAATATACTTTCATCAGAGATAGACGCGCAAAGACAATGTTGCGGTTGGCATTGCCAACATCAGCTGCCTTTGTATCCAAGATGACGTAATTCATGAGTAGTCTGGGTATGAAAGAGAGAAAAGGCCTTCCCACAGCCACACATCTCTCTTCCCCTACAGCAGATGGAACTTCCCACTGCACGCTGGTTTCTGAGGCTCAGCTCAGCCTAAAACATGGGGCTGAACCACTGTTGACAGACACTGCTGGGCTGCAAGGTAATGAACTCCATCATATTGACTCTGAGTCTAAGGACCACAGGATCACACCACGATCATATCATCAGCACCAGAACACTCACAACTAAAAGTTGCTGGTATCACTAGTAGGGTCTTAAAAATTAAGAATGCTCATTCATTTACATGCTAAAAAGAGTGGCCAAGAAAAAAAAAATCAGTATCTTTATGGACTTTTGAGCAGAGAAATTTGAAAGTTCTATTAAATCCAAGCATGAGATTGAACAAAGTCTGAGACTCCTTAATTGAATATTTCACTTGAGAGTCAAGCTAAATGCATTTAAAGAAAAATTTTAAAAAACTAAGCATACCATAGAACAGTTCTCTGAAATTAATAGGAGCAAAATAGCATGTGTGGGCAGAGAGGGAGGGCAAGAAGTCACCTCTCAGAAACAGAAACTGTACATTAGAAAAGAACTGGCAATGGCAGAAAACATGTAGCTATTCAGAATACAAATTTTCTATTCTAGTTGAAACTTAAATATCAAGCGATATGTATGTGAAATGTTACAACAGCAGGAAAATGTTATTATTATCACAAAGTTTGAAATATAAAATGATTGTCCATCTCTTCTTGGTCTATTACATAATTTTTAAACACTGATAGATTCAGTTTTTCATACTGAATCTACTTAACTTTTGTATCCCAAGAAACCAATGCGCTGTGCATATGTCAATGCATTGTGGCACTTTTAGAATGGGAACACGTGTTTATTTTTACCTTGCCATCTGGAACAGTGTCATCAAATATTCCCTCTAAAGATTTCTTTACAGCGTCAGTTCCCTCTCCAAACACCTGCATACACAAAAGTATCATCTTAAAAAGAAATCTGGGCAACAGAGCAAATGAAACATGGGATGGGGAATGGAAAGTAGGCATGGCCATTAGGAAACATCACAGACATTTTCAGACATTGCTACATCAAATTCCAAAGCAGATCAAGTAATTCATGGAAGCAGACCATTAAAAACATCCCTCCATCTAGGTGACTTCCCATGTATTTGACAATCCAAAAAAATAAATAAATAAAATTAAAAGTTTGCTTTTTGTTCTGGATAATTCATCTAAACTTAAACATAATAAACTTGTACAAGAAATGAACTAGATTCATTCACAATGAAGAATTTCAGCTACAGTCTCATAGACCTGATGAGATATTTATAAATAATAATCACTTTGCATTACTTTCTGGAGTAGAATTTGAAAAGATATTAATAGAATTTTTAATCACAACATGGCAGAAGGTTTTGATTTTTTTTAATTTAAAAATGGACTATTTCTCTTTTTTGAAATGTATTCTGCTAACTAAAAAGATTGATGAAAATTGTATTAGGGTACCAATGCCACTAAGTAATCAATAACCAAACACATGGACATGAGAAACTTTATGTCATGTGATGTCAAGATAATGTATATTATAAAGAAAAAACTTTTCTTGCAAAGCAAATGAAATAGAAACATACTTTTTGCCCATTTCAAAGTGCCAAATAAATTTCATGAGCAAACTGCTATTGGAATATTTATGGCTAAACAAGGTATTTTTAAAATTCATGCTTTATGAAAGAACCACCAGAATAGTTTATAAGACAATGCATTGTCTTTTAACTTTGAAAACAAAGTTAAAACATTATCTTGAGTTGATTTAAATTCAGTCATATAATTCAGTAGCAATGGTACAATAACCTGGTACATAACCTGGTACAAATAAAACAGAAGGACATTGACAAAGGATTTTAACACAAAACCAAACTGTGAAGTCCTGATCTGTAATTAGAACAGGGGGCTGAGTCACCCCTAATGACAGAGGGTGCACAAAAAACACCACACTGCCTCCCAAAAGGAGAGAAGTGCTGGTTGGTAAATGTCCTCCTCTTGCAGGTTTAATACAGAACCACAGTGTCTCTTATGTGACTTCCCCCCAACAGTTTCTTCTTCACATTTACATAACAGCAAGACCCATGCTGCTACCTCCATGTTCTGCTCTCCCCGGAGATCACAGAACAAATCATATCATTGCTCAGTCTCACACTCGTATCATTGGTTCATCTGGTCCCCTGCAGGTTCCATCAAGGATCGTGTTGGGCGGCAAAGGGGCTTAGTACATCAACTTTTTTTTTTTTTTTTTTTTTGACAGGCAGAGTGGACAGTGAGAGAGAGAGACAGAGAGAAAGGTCTTCCTTTGCCGTTGCCACCAATGGCCACCGCGGCCGACGCACTGCACCGATCCAAAGGCAGGAGCCAGGTACTTCTCCTGGTCTCCCATGGGGTGCAGGGCCCAAGCACTTGAGCCATCCTCCACTGCACTCCCGGGCCACAGCAGAGAGCTGGCCTGGAAGAGGGGCAACCGGGACAGAATCTGGCGCCCCGACCGGGACTAGAACCCGGTGTGCCGCCGCCGCAAGGCAGAGGATTAGCCTATTGAGCCGCGGCGCCAGCCCAGTACATCAACTTTCAATAGCAATCTCTCTTTTTAAACTCCATCTCTTAAGTAAACTAATGGTTGACTTGTCAGAGAAAATAAGAAGGGATCCCTCCATCAAGGGGGTCGATTGATATCTTCTCACTTTGCACAGGATACAGCGTGAATGGGTTCACACAGGCAATTCTAGTCATGACCTGCAAATGCTCAGTACCTGACTTCCAGCCACCATGCCCTATGAATAGGACATTTTCCTTCTTCTAAAAGGGCTATAAACCCTCAAGTTCCATTAGCCTCTAAAATCTAAACAAGCAGTTCTCATTTCTCCCAGCCAAAGCAGAAGGATGACACTGACAATGGAGGGTGAAATCTTGGAGGTAACACCAGCAGAGAGTAGCCTTCGCTAGTACAGGACTCAAACCAATGGGCAGGAACATGTCCACACTCTACTATGGGGCTTCATGGTGTACTGAGAACTCCTTCCAGCCCTTGCGCTTGAGCCGAGGGAGCCATGGCCGTGAGTGGGCGCTTTCAGATTCCTGGCTCCACAGCCCTACAAGGATCTGCCTATTTGATGTCAACCCCCAAAAGTCAAGGACAGAGACATGATCAGATTTCCCTGGAGGTGGCCTTCGATCCGGCGCCAGAAGCTGCTTAAAGCAACTCTGGGCTCAGGTGCCCACTTGGCTTCATCACCGAGCACTGCCTTTTGCTGAAGACTCAGGATGAATTGTGCACTTTCAGTGGGTTTATAATTAACCAGGGCTGGAAAGGGTGCAGGTGAGAAATGAGAGCTTGGAGATAGACTAATAGCAGAGTTCAGTGTTAGGGATATACATTATCTGTTAAGTGTCTAGAGCAACTAACTTCTTTGTGTCAACTAGTTGCCTCTGAATAAGTGCCAATAAAAGAACACACACATACACACACACACACATACATACACACCCCAAATCAACGTGGTCATGGAAGCCACACATGCAGGTTTCCTTTGCATCTACTATGGAATCTACCTGATTGATGCTTGGGCGTCCCTGCTTCTTTTTGGAGGTAGTGTCCAGACCCCAAAGAGAAGAAAACCTGCTCCTTCGCTTGCTTGCAGATCTGGACATGGCCTGAGTACGTCGTCTCACTCCAGTTTCACCAGTGCGTGCTGCCACCTGATGACGGCAAACAAGGAGCAGCAACATGAGAGATGTGTCAAGACCATCACCTGTTCCTCAGGGTCTTCAGTGAGTCCCGCCTTCAAAAGCTCCTCCTCCATCACACCAGGAACACTGATCCTACTGCCCAAAGCATTTGATCCATGACTCATACATGTTGGGACATCGAGGGTCCTTCATGGATTCAAAATGCAAGTGACAGGTTGACAGGTTCAATCGTTCCATGAAATCACCAGCAAAAACACACAGAGCAGTAATAAAATATATAGGTTATGTTTCCAAGAATTCAGTGTCCCTTCTGGTCACAGGCTTGAGCTACAAAAAAGCCAAGTTTTCTTGGGATTCTCCACAAACGTATGCTAATGAAAAATGGGGCCAAGCATTAGCAAAAATAGGAGAAAACAGTAGTTTGGTTTCTGTGATTCCAAATCAAATCTAAAACTATCAATTGCTTCTAGTTATGTCGATACATAAAATCATTTTCCATATTAGGAAGTGACAGTTGTCTACCTAATGACTACTCAATATCCATTGTCTCTTCTATCTCAGTCAGAAAACCCCACGTGCAGTTGTGCACACAGCCCAGTCATCAAAGCTGACTTGTGTTCCTTGTAGCAGGGCATAGGCTAGTGACTAAGCACTGGGCAATGGGATGTCAGGAGGAAAATCATGAGCATATGCAACACCCAGGAATAGTGGACTTCCTCAGAAGAGGGGCTTTCCGTATCCTCAGTTCTCTGTCCTGATGTCAGTAGGCACACATCGTGGTCCAGAAGTCCAGACAAAAGCCCTTTGAGGGACACCAGAACAAGAAAACAGAAGGCACCTGGATCCCTGAAGATGTGAAACCACCTTACCAGGTTTCAATAGCTTGCATGTCCTATGTTTAGGTCAACGTGAAATAAAACAAGGTTTTTTGTTTCTTGTTTTTTTTTAAATTCAACATTGTTGAGATACTTTTAAAGTACTGGGTATTTAGAGAAATATTTCAGGAGGAAATCCCAATTTCAATCTGTGATAATTGCGCACAGAGAGTCTCAGGGAGCACTCCCTGGAGCCTTCCTAGGCAAAATATTCAGGCTTGAACTTTACCCCACAGGTGGTGAACAAAGTCCCAGGAGCCTGCACCAGGAGGTCTCAACAGGCCACCCACGGGCTCTCCTTTCACAGCAGGGAGAAGCAGGCAGGACCTCCCCACCCCGTCAGACCTGAAATGAAACTCCCCCACTCGCTCTTTGTTGCTGGAGGTGAATGTCTCGGAACCTACTTGTCATAGATTCCCACACAGGCAACTCCCAACAGGACAGATGCCAACTGGCAGCAGTGTAAGGGGTGAAACCCTATTGGCCAACACAAGAGGCCTCTCCTGGAGTGCACACGCTGGCCTCTCTGGGTTTTCAGTGTTGACAGTGTAAACACCATGGAAGCCCCCTGAGTAGACTGGCAGGGACCCCCATGTACATTGAAAACAGGAATCAAAACACTTTCTCAGAAAAGGTATTAGGGGGAAGTTTTTTGGTCCCAGAAGAAAATAGGAAGAAGAGAGAGCTGAGAGGTCTGGCATTTTCTTGGCTTAGCACATAAAAAACCCGGCTCAGGATACAGAACATTTTGGTAGCCAAGCCACTAGTGGGAATTTTTACAAGAAAGATCTTAATCTATGGGTTATACTTGAGGTGTTAAGGGGAACAAACATAAAACAAAAGGCAGCATTAAACATATAACATTTTACTCTTCTTTATTTTCATAACTTTCTAAGTTAAATAAATGTTGTAAAAGGAATACATTATCATGGGCTGACACATGTGTGCCCAAATGACTATCTCAACTCTAAATAAATGTTATTAAATTTTAAAACTCCAGAGGGGGGAAAAAGTCTGCTTTGTTTCATGTTTACATATCTATTTCTAAATAAGTAAATCCAGTCACAAATAGATACATATACAGGTACAGTACAGGCAGCCAGGTACAGCAGCCTTCTGAATCCACAGGTTCTACAACCTCAAACAACTGCAGAATAAAGGTACATACTGAGCATGTTCAGACGTTTTGTTTTCCTTGTCTTTATTCCTTAAACAATACAGCAACACAGTGAGCTACCTACCATTTACACTGCAATTGCTATTACAAGTAATGTAGAGAGGATTTGAAGTATATGGGAAGATATGCATTGTTACTAGGAAAGATGTTGGTCCCTGCAGGGGGCCCTGGAGCCAATCCTGCAACCAGAGGGAGGAACTGTGGTGTGTGTACAGATGACCATTACCCATTTACTTCCTAGACAGCACACATCACTATCTGTACTAAGCTGATTTAACTGCTTCTTTTTTTTTTTTTTTTTTTAAGAATTTGTTTTCATTTTATTAGAAAGGCAGAGACAGACAGAGAGAGCTCCCACTCATTGGTTCACTTCCCAGATGCCCACAGCACTTAAGACTTGGCCAGACCAAAGGCAGGAGCTTGAATTCAATCTAGGTCTCTCACATGTGTGGCAGGGACTGGAGCACTTGAGCCACCACCTGCTGCCTCCCAGGGTGTACAACAGCAGGAAGCTGGACTCAGGAGTGCAGCTGGGCTTGGACTCAGGTGCTCTGCTGGGGGACACAAGCGTCCTAGTGGCGTCTTCACTGCTGTGCCAAACGCCTGTCCTTGCTTTCTTTTTCTTATCCACCTTTCCCACAGAATGAAAGGTTGAATAGGGCAGAGTATGTGTCACTCACTGCTCTAACCCTAATCACAAAGACAGTAAACAACATACGCAAAGCTGAGTGCCCAGAACTCACACATATTCATTGACTGAACAAATAAGTAAACACCAAAAACACAGCAGTGATCCTATATAACACAGTAACAGTAATTAAAAAGTAATGCTTTAGCTTAAAATTTTAGGAGGAAAAAAAGGGGTGGAAATTAATACAATCACAGTTACCAACGAGTAATCAGTATTTAACAAACACTTTAAGGTTCCTACATAACTATTCTCAACAGTTTGGTGCGTTGTAAATTGTACAAGTACCTACTATGCCCACATTGATACTGACTCAAAGAGCAAAGAGACATAGAAGAGGGGCGGGGTGTGGTGGGGGGGAGAAGCCAGCAGAAGAACTCCAAGTTTCTCAATGATCTTTGCTCAGACAATGGCTCCCTTTGTGGCCGGAACCTGACTCCTCTATCGCTGCACTCATCTGTGCAGACAAGGACAAGGATAACCCTCTCTTCCCAGAGGGCGCCCGGCCCTTCCTTAATTACAGCAAATCACTCAGCACGAAGAAGGCTCTCCTAGTGAATGGGGCTTCAGAGTGGCTCCTGTGGCTCCCCTCGGCCCTGTTCCCCTCACACCTCCTTCTCCTCTCCCCAACTGAAAAGAAGGGGGAAAAATGCCTAAACAAAGACAGAATTGAAGGATGTTTCAACCCCAAGGTGGTGGGGTTGGCGGAACAGAGGGGGAGAGGGGAGAGAGGAGGAAACCCTGGGGTCAAATGACAAGGAGAGGAGAAGAAAAATAAATGTCCAATAAATCAGCCTGTAAAACTCCTTCCATGGGATGCACAGCAGTACAGAGCAACAGACAGCTACCCAATGGGACCAGCTTAACTCATTCATTCCAAATAATGGTCCCCTTGGAAATGGTGAGAGTGCAAGGCCATGCAAACACCCAGATGTGCATCACAAAAGCAGCCAGCCAAAAATGCATAAAGGCATAGAGAGCTGAACATAAAGAATGAAATCTTCTCTAACATCACTGACCCAAAAAGCCCAAAAGAGCTAGGAGCTGCCCCATTGCCATCATCAGCTGGCCAGAGTGTAATGGCCTGCCCACCACAAGGTGGGTGCACACCAGACTGCAGATATGGAGAGAAATGATCACAAGGCCTGATGGGAGAGAAACACAGAGCTCACTCTTGTCCTCCAGCAGACGTCAGGGCCAATGGCTTTTTTTTTTCCTTAAGATTTTATTATTTATTTATTTGAGAGGTAGAGTTACAGACAGTGAGAGGGAGAGACAGAGAGAAAGGTCTTCCACCCGTTGGTTTACTCCCAAAATGGCTACAAGGCTGGAGCGGGGCCTTCCTCTGGGTCTCCAAGAGTGCAGGGGCTCAAGCACTTTGGCCATCTTCCGCTGCTTTCCAAGGCCATAGCAGAGAGCTGGATGGGAAGAGGAGCAGCCAGGACTAGAACCATCGCCCATATGGAATGCCTGTGCTGTGGGAGGAAGGTTAACCTACTACGCTACAGCGCTGCCCACCCCCCAACAAATGACTTTGAAAAACAATGTGCATACATGTTTTGAGTAGAAAGTGAAATTACTTTCTCCAAAATCTATCAAGCCACAGAGAAAGAAGGGAGTTATTAAGATGCACAGGAGTTGTCACTGACAGTGACGGGCACCTCATGGATGTCAGGAGGGCCCAGAAATTTTATCTCAATTATTTTGTATAGAACAGGCAAACTATGATTTAGCTAAGTTAGAAATTGGTGTCTGGGTCTCAAAGAAATAGACCTAGATAGAGCCACAAGCTGAAAACCATTTGCAAGACTTTATACATCACAGCACTTTGCCCTAGTACTGTGGAAAAAAAAAAAAAAAACCGTACTTAATAGCTTACACAGAGAGGTGGTAGGCAGAGAGACCAAGAGTGGAGCTGTAATTAGCAGAACAAATTGGGATGCCAGTTTTAATAACTCCAGAAATTGGTTTAAGACTTCTTTAAAAATGTAAATCTACCCCTAATTATCTGAATGATGACGCTAATCTATTTATAAAGAATACAAACGCCTCGGCCTGAATTACAGCTCTGAATTCAATTGAAGGGTACAGCTGACAGGGCAAGACAACAGTGGCACAGCTAAGGTTTTCCAAAGCCATTTCTGGAACCTGAGACTTTTTAATGCCACTGCAAATGTGCTAAGGTGCAGGACATTTTAAGTGGGTGGTGACTTGGATAGGCTAAAACCATGTTATTCATGCTGCAATTTTTGAGAAAAAAGGAGCCAAAAGTACATGAAGCTGTTTGCAATTTAGCAAGCACAAGAAATTACAGATTACAAACATACAACACAACATACAGTCTGCCGCTCTGGAGGTCAGAGGAAAATTCTCTTCCCCCATCAATACATACTCCTATGTTCAACGGACCAGTTGGGGGATTTCTCTGCCTTCCTAACATATTTACGGTCCTCAAATAATGATAAAAAAAAATAAAGGGAAGATCCTCAATGAGATCTCAGATCAGTACTTCACATGTGAGAGAGAGAATGAGAAAACATTTATGTATGAGACAGAGATCCTCACTCATCATCAGTACAAAGTTAAAATAAAAAATATGTATTTGGGTCCAAAACACAGCACTGCCCAAACAAGGGCTATCAATACAAACCACCTGTAAACATCTCTGAAGCTGGATTTCTTTGCACAATAGTTTAGACCCCATCAAGACAGGCTTAGATTCAAATGAAAATCTGTGCCCACAGAAAGGGAGGATATTCTAGAAATCCACACGCAGCAATCAGAAAACCAGTTAGAGAATCCTGTCAAGTCTTGTGCTGGATTTACAGTCAAGATGACTATTTTTTAAAAATTTATTAGTTTCTACTCACCAGGGCATGAAAAGAAGATACGGAAAATATTCCAAGGCGGCCCATGGCCACTTTCGTCGGTCGGCTTGCAAATGCGAGCAGCCTTTTGGGGTTTGGTAGCTCCCCACCCTGCAGGCTCGCTAAATAACAGCGGAAACGAAATAGGTCCATTTGGAACTGTTCGAGATTTTGCTCCCAAACAAAAATCTGCCAGAGTAAAAACATGGAAGAAAACAAGGAGAGGAAAAAGGAAAACAAATGTTAACAACTTTGTCTTACACAACTTTGTTTTACAAAAGTACCAATTATAATCCTAGGGGGTACCCTTTGTTTCCTAGGTATATAAGTTTTTCCTGCAAAGATCTAGAGCCATAAATTCAGTATGATAAACACAAAGTGTAGTATCCATTGCTCTTTGCTCTCTCACTGTATATTGTGTGTGCCTGGGTCCATGTACTTCAAGATTTGGGCCACAAATGCAAGAAGTAAAAATATAGGTCCTTTAAGCTACAGTGTGGCTCAACCTACATGGCTTTCTAAGACATGGCTTTTCAGACTAAGACCAGCAAAGAAGAAAGATAACATGAATTCAAAGTCAAAAGCAAATTTTTGGGACGAGCTGGGTGGTTCAGGGTAGAAATGGACAACTCCAAATGGTGGAGACCCAGGTGTTTGAGTGCATAGTTCCAACCACAGGTTATATTTAAGACAATCTCTCCTTTTTATAAAGCTACAAAGTAACACCTACTTCCTAACCTGGTGGGTTGTTAAACAAGAAAATGCAAAATAAGTTCATGATCTAGAATACAGTGAACTCTCAGGGATGTTGATGATGATACCGGTTAAAGTTTATATCAACTCTTTTATTGCAGCTTAAAATATAGTATCAGTGTACACACATGCTCAGAGCAGTACATCCCAATGGTGCAAGCAGCTCCAATGTCTATGCATAGGTGAGCGGATACACAAATTGAGGTAGATGTATACCACATAATAATATTCGCCAAAGAAAGAAGGAAGAACTGAAGTATACTACAGTGTGGATCAATCTCCCAAACACTGTGCTGTGTGAAAGAAGACAGACACAAGAGGTCACATGTGACGCAATTCCATTCCCATGAAACCTCTAAAACAGGCCAAGCTATAAAGACAGAACGTCAGGGACAGAGTGGACTAAATGTTTATCAGGTGTGGGGTTTCCTTTGTGGGTGGATGAAACCGTTTCAGGACTAGAAAGAGGAAAGCTGCACACACACACAAAAAAAGTGAACGTACAAAAAGCCAATGCACAGCTCACTTTAATTTAGGTGTATTTTGTCTCAATTTTAAAGAAATATGGGGCCAGCAATGCGCTCAGCAGGTTAAACCACTGCTTGGAATGTCAATTCCCGGATGCTCTGCTTCTCATCCAGCTCCCTGTTAAGGCATCTGGGAAGACAGGACTTGGACCCCTGCTACCTATGTGGGGACCTGGATGCAATTCCAAATTCCTGGCTTCAGCTTGGCCCAGAACTGACCATTGCAGCTAACTGGGGAGTGCAGACTAGCAAACAGAAGAACAAACTAACTCTCTGTCTCTGTCTCCCTTTGTTACTCTGCCATTCAAATAAATACATAAACAAATTTTTATATATATAATATTCCAGGCCATGCAGGGAAAGAGTAGAAGGTCAACCAAATGCTGCTACAGGGATGTACTCGGCTCCCCACCCAGGAGACAGCGGCCTGAGACATCGCCCCATGCCAGCGAAGAGTACATCGTCGTCCCATGTCAGCAGGAAGTAGCTCTAAAGACAGATCATTGTCCCTCTACCCCTCCTGGACTTTTGGGACTAATGTAATCCCATACAAACCCTGCTTTATAAAAAACAAAAGGGGGGAATGTTAGGAAACTGGCGCAGTTTTAGCCAGGTGGCTGCATGGCCCAGCTACCTGAGCCAGGCTCCCCCCCTCCCCGCCCCCATCCTAATGGGATTCGCTGCTCCTGCTTCACTGCCCACCCTCAGGCGAAGTTTTAAAAGGGCCTGTTCCTGAACACGTGCTGTCTTGGCTCTTGGTCCTTCTCTCCTGCGCTCTCTTGGCTCCTCTCCTCCTCTCGTCTCTCTTCTCCCTCCTCTCTGTCTCTCTCTCTTACAGTCTCCTCTTTTCCTTCGCCGCCCCTTCACTCTGGTCTGTTGGGTGTTCCCCAATAAACCCTTTCCCTTAAAAAAAAAAAAAAAAAGAAAAAAAAAGAAACGTGAAAGGCCTAGTCCTGACCCATGTCATCAACTGTTCAATTACTCACGATTCTTTTAGTCACATTATTATTTTCCTAAGTATTAGGACAAAGTTTCCAAGCATGAGCAGGTGTCTATCACCAACTTTAAAACAAGTCAAAAATGCACCCTGGTCATTTCACTAGATCCTTCTTTTTTATCACGAAATACACCTACCCTCTTACAGAGCAATTCTATGTGCAGGCAAGAAACCCAGCACTGAAGATATCTGGGGGAAAATTCATCTGTACTGAACATGTGCAGATTTTTTCCCTTGTCATTATCCTCTAAACAATAGAGTATAACAATTATTGGCACAGTATTTATATTGTGTTAGGTACCATAAATAATCTAGAGAAGACTTAAATAGGATGATGTGCATACATTCCACGCAAATCCAATGACATTTTGTATCAGGGACTCAAACAGGGTTTTGTATCCACTGAGGGTCTCGGAAGCCATAACCCATGGACAGCAAATGACTGTACACATTCTTTGAGATGCACTTCACCTCTTCTAAATAAAGAACTCTAAATTTCCAGAAGAGTAAGAACCAAATGCCCACCATCGCTTAGATTCCAGTCAACCTGGTAACGCAGGGAATGAAACTGTAGACTTTCTAATAACATACATCCCCTAGAATTGCACACCACTGGCAGGAGCTGGAAGGCACCTCTATTAGACTTCTGTCTTTCATTCAATGTAATATTGTTCCCTTTAGCTCATAATAATCAACTGTGAACAGAGGGTGGAGAAAACTGACAGTCCCAATAAAGAATTCAGCAGCCCGGGTGACAAGCTGACAAGGAGATGGCCAGAGATGCTTCCGGATTCCAAGGCAGCAGCAACATTTGTCAAGGCCTAACGATTCTACCCAGGGTCCACACGCAGAAGCACCATTACCTGATCTAATATAGTTTTCTTCTTCTTCGAGTCAGTGACAGAAGACAGCTGCATTTCGCCCATTTTCTTCATCTTCTCATCCATGTCGATCTTCTGTTCCAGTTTTTTGATTTCTGACTTGAGCAGCCGGAGCGTGTCTTCTTTGTGGTGGTGTCGGGCCACGGCAGCTGCGCAGGCCGAGTGGATGGCGGTGATCCAGTTTTCAAGCTCTGTTTGGCTGGTGGTCTGCAGAAGGATGGGACAGTAAGTCACCTCTTGGGAAAGTAACAGAAACAAGATAGGGTGATTCCAGGGAAGCAATGCCGGAGAGAAACAGGTCTAGACACCCCATGGCTAAGGCCACTCTAACCTCCAGAGAGTCAAAAAAGGAAAGTTAATCTCGGGCCAGATCTTCCCTCCCCCAACTCCAGCCATCCTTCAAAGACATTCCTGAGCGAAGCTATCGCATCTGCTCACCCAGTGACTTACAAAGTCCCTCTGTACATGAGACTCCTACACAGCTTGGTTTCCACGTAAGAGGGTGACGGTAAGGCAAAGGTCAGTTTTCAGCCAGCATCATTAGTTTCAAGGTGTCAGGGAGACCAAGGAACTTTACTGGTCAAGGAAGTCACCAACAGCCCTGCCTCCAATGAAGTGCTGCAACTCTACTCCAGAAGCCCAAGTCCAGTGTTAATTAGCAATAACAAAACTAGGGTCAGGAAAGTGGTTCCAGGCAGCTAGAAGCAACATTGTCTTAGAAGGCTGCAGGGCAGTCCCCCAACAGCATCCCATGTGCTGAGAATGGCCTGTTCAAGGTGGGCATCGGACACAATGTTGGGGGACACCCACCAACCGACAATCTCACAGTGGACTTCAAAGGCAAAAGTCAGAATGTGTACTAACTTGCTATTGATGATTCCGTAGGAACTAAACCTGTGAGCATTTGTATGTCGGGGATTCTGGACTTTTCCATGTATTTTCTTAAGTCCAGAGAAGTTTAATAAATGCTCAGAAGTCAGCCCATCTCAACAAATAAGTCTGCTTGGCACTATGGTACTAACCTAGCTGTTAGCATAATTTTTTGTGCAAAAACAATGCTGATTTTTTTTTCCCCTCTGAGTTTTTTTGGCTTGGTGGAGTGATAGCACAAAAACAAAATTCTATTAACAGAACCCTACCAGTACAAAACTCTATGTTGGCTGGCAAGTGAAATTGAAGGCAAAGGACTACAGAGTTACATCTATTATTATTTCTGAATGTCAACAACTTTGTACTCCACAAAAGAAACAGCATCAAATATTGAAAATGGTTTCTGCCGGGGCTGGCACTGTGGCATAGTGGGTAAAGCTACCCCTGCAGTGCCAGCATCCCATATGGGTGCACATTTGAGGTCTGGCTGTTCCACTTCCAATCCAGCTCCCTGCAAATGTGGCTGGGAAAGCAGAAGACAGCTCCAGTGCTTTGGCTCCTGCACTCCACATGGGAGACCTGGAGGAAGCTCCTGGCTCCTGACACTGGACTGGCCCAGCTCGGGCTGCTGTGGCCATTTGGGGAGTGAACCAACAGATGGAAGATAGCTCTCTCTTGTGTGTGTGCTGTAACTATGCCTTTCAAATAAAAAAATAAATCTTTACAAAGAAAAAAAGAAATAAAATGGTATCTGTCAACAAAACCACCTCACATTCTGCAATCCAAAATGATGGAGGTTGTTACCTTATTTTTTAAGTGTTTTCCTCTGGATGTATTATATTCCAATAAGCGAGGCTTACCATAAACACACAGCAGAAGTAACTCCTGAGAAAGTGAGTGGAATATGAAAAGTGGGAGGAGGAGAGGAGATAAAGACATTGGAAGTCACATGCAAACAGTTGTAGGTTGAGAAACTTAAGTGTGGGGAGGGAAGCACCTGTGTATATGAGATTCATCTTTAACTCCTAAAATCTGCTTCAAATTATTTACTTCCATCTCCTCTATGAGGGTCAATATATTCCACTTTGTCCTTGCACAGAGTTCAAAATTCTTCACAAGGAAACAACAAGCTTATTCCTACCCAAGGCACTGACCTTTGGCTTTTTTGGGTTTTTAGCATAAGTATTTTGTTAAGTGGGGTTATGTTCCCTATTGCTATTAGAGGAGGTATCAGCTCAAATGAGAAAAAAGAAAAAAACAATTGAATAAGGCTTTTTTTTTTTTTTTACAAAAAAATAACTAAAAACTCCTAAGATGAAAATACCCAGTGTTGGTGAAGATATGGAGCATCAAGAATGCTCAGAAGCTGCTGGAAGGAGAGTTAACGGGCAGGACTGCTTGAGAGAGCAACCTCCTGGAGCTGAGATAAGCACACCCTGTGACCCAGAACATGCACTCTGGGTGTGTACCCCACGGGAGCACACTCACCTGCCCACCACAACAGATGCACCAGAATGTGCGTGGTACTCTAATTCTGGAAACCCTCCAGATGTCCCTCAACAGAAGAACGGATGAGTCTGTGGGATAATCACACACGGAAAGTCTAGCCAGCAACAAGAAGGGTCTATACCCAAACACTACAACACGGATACATGTCGCACACACAGTGCAGAGCTAGGCAGAAAAGCATATGTACCAGAGGACTCTATTTATACAAAGTGCAGGCAAAGCTAATGCTCGCCATTGGAATTCCAGAGAGCAGCTCTTGGGTGGGAGGGAGGGCAGGGGTAGCAATCGCAGAGACACACAAAGAAGCTTTTCTGCTTCTTGACCGGGGCACTGGTTACACAGGTGTGTTCAGTTCATGAGACAGCATAAAAACACATACTTTTCAGTGTATGTAATACTTTCATAGAAAGTTTCTCCCAAAAATCCTCCCATAATGTATTACCCTCGAGTTTAAGTATACATGTTCTATTCTTGTCCTAAAAACATTACACTACATATTCCATTCTTCATTAAAGTTTGTCCCTATCAGATTACAGAGAGAGTTCCAAAGACATCACCCTTTCAGCATTGTTTCTTTTTCCTTCCAAGTGCCTGGCAGCACACATACATACAGCCAAAGAAGCCAGCAGGAAAGAGTATGTCCCAGATGACTCTATTTGACACAAAACATGTGCTCTGCTTTCTCTGCACAGCTAAGTGGAAACAAGGGGGTAGACTGTGGGGGAGAGCTGGTGTTTTCAACCATTCTAAAAGGACAAGACGGGGTATCCAGATGCTATCCTTGCATAGCTGGTGGCAGGTGGCACTAAGGAGGGGCTATGTCTCTTCCTCAAACCCTAGCTCTTCAACACTCAGTGGTCTTCCACATCTGTTTCCCCAAGATAAACCGCTCTCATCTCTGTCTCAGTTGGAGCCCTCCAGGCCTACCTGTCGCTCCTGGACTCAAGGATAAGGAAATACTCAGCTATAATATCTAAGAAATGGACAGAAAGAGTCTAAACTCCTGGCAGCAAGCTCTGCTAACTACACACTAGGAATTTAAAAGTTTAAATACAAATATGCACCTAGAAGGGACCTAGGTGATCATTTTACAGATGGGAGAACAAAAGACTAGGAAAAATTAGGGAAGACACAGCCATTCATTATAAACTTTCATCTCCACCAATTCTGTATGTCTGGCTTTTTTCTCTTTCTTTTTTAAATTAAGACACACTGATCCTGAGCCCTCAGTAGCACCTGCCAATTGCTCTACCCACTCAGATGCAGGGCCCATTCATTACTCTGAGCTCCCTCCTCTCCAAGAAAATGGGCCAATGGACCTTTCCTGTCCCCCTTGAAGTTGGGCATGGTCATGTCTCATGTGTTACCGCTCAATAAAAGCCTGATTCCCTCAACTCTGGACCTTTGTCTGCAGTCTCAGAACCGTGTGTCAAGATGGAGTTTCTGTCTGCCTGGGTCTCAAAAGTGCTCAGGATGGGTACAGCTTCAGAGCGAACTGCCACAGTCACGTGGCAGCAATGGGGGCTGCTCTTTACTATAACATGGTCAAAACCATCCCAACTGATCATCTAGCCAAGTAGAAAACCCATTATCAAAATAGATAAGGAAGGGCCACGAATCTGCTATGTCCTGTAGAATAGCCTCTTGCTCCCTTCACTTCACGAAGGGGGATCCCTGCTTCCCCTCTCCTCTGAGGATGTCACCCAAACTCAAGACAAAGGCAACACAGTCCATTTTCATGTCAGAGTTCATGTTCGCCTCTCATTGAAGAAGTGGCAATGAAGGCAATGAAGGCAGCTGATTCCGGCGGGTGTTAAACAACCTTTGAAAAGTGTATATTTAATTTTGGCCAAATAGCTGTCCTGGAACTTATTTATAACAGAAAGGAAGAAGATGGTTTACAGTGGTGGGGATGGGGAGAACGGAGTGACAGAAGGCCTCAGAGTTCCACCTTTGCAAGATGGAAAGAGTTCTAGAGATCGATGTCAGCAGGAGCTGTGCAACACCATGAGCTGTGCTCCACACCACTGAATAACACGCTTAAAAATGGTTCAGATGATCCATATGATGTCATACGTATTGTTCCACAATTAAGTAGAAAAAAAAGAATTTAAAAAGAAACAGAAGAAAAATAACATACCAATCCCCTAAACCTAGAAAAGCAAACAGTACACAGAAATGTATGATGACAGCTTTATGAAAAATTTAGCCATCAGCCCTTTTAACCATGAAGTACGCTTCAATCCTGCAAACTCTTTTAAAACCTGTCAGTGGCTGGCGGCAGTTCCATTAGAGAGTTTTTGCTCCTGCTGTCCTTTCTAAATAAAACAGCAGTCCCTGCCACCTTGATGATTAAGCCTAATCAATTTCTCAGAAATACAATCCACTAAATGAGCTTCTGAGCAAGGCTGGTCCCTTTGCAGTGGCACGTGGGGAGTACAAGTTGATGCGAGGGAGGAAAACTCCGCTGACTACTTTCAACAGCTAGTTAAGTGGGGAAAAGTCCAGAAACACTTCCGGACGTTTACAGGCTAAGCAGTGCAGAACTCTCACGGCAGATGACTAACTCGATGTAACATTTTCCAGTGCGGACTCTCCAGGACGTAATCCAGCATGCTACGAAAGCTGTTCAAAATTGCTCACCTTGCATCCCCTTCTTAAACCAGGAGCTTAGGCAGCAACATCAGATCCAAGTCATACCCCTTCCCCAGGACCCAGTGGTCACAAGGCAGGAGGCAGAGACCACCCAGGGGTGCCTTGTGACAGCCACCACTCCACTCGTCACCTTCCATTACACAAACAGCAGCCGACAGGTGAGAGAGTGAATT